AGCGGAAAATCAGCACTTGGTCCGACGACCAAGGTGCAGTACCTGATAACAAGGTTGCAAGATATTCTGATAACAGCCTTAAAATCGGAACGTAATAATTGATCATATCGATATCAAGGAGGGCGTTGATGGAAGGAAATCCAGGATTTCATCGGAAAGGCCTCTACATCCTTGGGACAAGGGTTCAAGGATGGGAGGCGCGAAGTGGAAGAAGAAGAAGCAGAAGAAGAGGCACAAAGGACGATGCCGAAGGAAGATAACCGATATCGACACCGTCCGAATGACCCCTCTCCTCGAAGAGCCAACAAGAAGTGCAAACGGGAAAGAAAAAACCCTCTTCAGGGTCTAAGGCCGAATGGTCCCGAGCGCACCTAGGGGAAGGAACCCTGATGACGACCCTGAAGAAGGCAATCAGCGTCTCTTTGCTCCTACCCGATTCCGAGTTTCCTCGGCAAATGCCGATTACGGGCCCTCCAAGACCAGGGGTGAAGAAGATTAGAGTTTCTGATGAACTCGGGGTCATTAACTGGCGAGATGGCCGAGGCAAGGGTCATTCCGAGAGGATCTGAAAAGAAACTAGGAACAATGGAATTGGAAAAAGGAGACTGGAATGAGATAATGGGACCGCAAAGAAAAATCCCCAGGATGGGATATAATGGAGTTGCCTGATTGCACGTCGTGCATCTCGGGAATAATCCTTATCTAAGAAATAGGGAGTGATAGACGCATGACTTCATGACCCCAGATCTTCAGGGAATAACGCCTTAACAATTGCACTCGCGTTACGGTGTGAAAATCGAGGGAATGTTGCACTGAAAAAATAAATAAAAAAAGGAACGACCGGATCAACAATAATTGTCCTGTCGGGTCCAGCGGTTCCTGGAACCAGAATTATTGCCAATCGGGTTACAAAGTACTTGGGCCATGTACACTTGGTTGCATAATTGACCATTTCCCATGCATTGTCAGGATTTTTTTTAAATACCCACCCTACTGGTTCATGCAATTTCAATCGTCGATTAAACTCGATCGCTTACCGTGGTTCCCCGGTGATTGTAACTTACCATCGTTAACAATGACAGTAATGATAGCAGCGAGGCTTGGGAACAATTTTAATAAAGACCACGCGACTTGAATTCAATTTACGAGCCTCGAGGGAACTAGTAGAGAGGAATGCGAGGAATGCCGAAATGCATCGGGGAATGTACGCTGTCGGTACTGTTAATGTTCATGGCAATGTCTGGCGGGTAATTAGGAGACTGGTATGCCGCACTGCAAACGGATTCGATCAATTTCGCGGCGAGGAAAAATTTTTTTTTAGCGAAAAAAGACACTTTTCCGCGACGTCGAGGAAATTACAGCCCCGTGGAAAACTCGAAAAGGGTCGAGTCGGAATTTTCATCCTATCACCCTGATAAGGCGTAATGGGATCTTGTCAGGCAAAGCTGTTCATGAATATTGAAAATTATTAACTCGTGGCAAATTGGCCAAGAAAATGGCCGGGGGAGTTTCGGGGAGGGAAGAATGGATTTTCGGGGGGAAAAAGTCCCCCCTCGAAATCGTAAAGCGGTTGCGCAAGGTAAAATCGTCGGAGCGTTGAAAGGTGTCATAAGAAAATAATAATAGACGTGGAGAGTACCAAGAAAAAGGGCAAATAAGTACGAAAAGAGAAAGCGATAAGGGGAATCGTGACCATTTGTCGGATGACGGTCACGGTGAATTCCCCTAGGAATATCCTAGGATACTGTTTACATCTGCAGAATGCAAAAATATTCGGCCGAGAAATTATTAAAAAGCGTAAAGAGGGTAGATAACATCCTCCGCGCATAAAAATTAAATCCCCCAGGTTTATTGTAATTTTTAGTCCTCCTCTAGTGTCATAAAAAATTCCCAGCCGTGGGGAATTCTTTGTAGAGCTGTAAGGAACTCTTGGCGGATATGTCGATACAACATGTAAGGGGAAAACAAAAAAAAAACTCCAAGAGGAATGCAACAATGACAAAGGGGTGCGACATCGGAGTCGATCGAGCTCCAGATAGAGAGTGCCTTCGATTCTCGCGATTCCCGAGGATAAGCCTTGCGAAATGAAAATAAAACCACCGACAATACAAAGGAGGGACAATATACCGACTGGCCAAGGTAAAAGAACAAGAATAAAAATACGGAGGGAGAAAAAAAAATTACAAGATATCCTGGGAAAATTAAAATGCAGGGCGCACGATCTAAGAGGCAGATCAAGAAAATAATCTAAAAATCATTTAGTAACAACCCCCACCCGCTCCTAAATTTTCGAAAGCCTTCCTAGCTTCCTTATGTCTCTATAAAAAAATTGCAAAAGAACCGTGAAAAATTCTGTAATCGAAAAAAAAATTCGCGGAGAGTCGGGAAGGGTAAGGCGTGAAATGGCGAGCATGAGAGAATAACCAAAAATAATCTAAAAATCATTTAAAAACAATTTCCACCCGCCCATAAATTTTCGAAAGCCTTCCCCGTGTCCTTGTGTGTCTATAAAAAAATTGCAAAAGAATCGTGAAAAATTCTATAATCGAAAAAAAAAAATCGCGGAGAGTCGGGAAGGGTAAGGCGTGAAATGGCGAGTATGAGAGAGGAGGGGCCGTCATAGCTGGAGGGCAGAGACCCATGCGTTAACTCGAAATGATAACGTCGACCACGACCCCCTCGAGGGGCTTTATGCCCCGTCGGAGCGCGAAGGGACAAATTATCTCCCCGTCGATAAATTAACCCGGACGGCTCGACGGATTATCGTCGCACTTGGCGCGAGACTCTGCACCCGCCGGCCACACCTGACCAAGAGAGAGAGGCGGAGAAACAGGATCTGGTTCCGCGAGGCCGGAGGATTTGAATACTCGTTACACGGACCGAGCACGAGGCCCGAAGGAGCTCGTTGCGTCAAGATTTCGTAAAAAGGCTCCTTTCCACGGAAACCCACTCACTGCAAAACGGGCGGCGTGCCCATGGGCACGGATTGGTCCGACAATGCCCTAAAGGTCCTGGAGACGTCATATGAATTTTCTCCCTACTTTTCAATGATTAATAAAAATAATTGAAGAGGACTCCCTCATAGAAATATCGTGAAAAGGCTCTTTTTTTTTTTTTTTTTTTGCGGAAATCCACCCATCGCGAAAAGGGCGGTGTGCCCATGGGCCCATCCGACAATAAGCCCTAGGGGTCCTGGAGACGACATATCTAATTTTTTTTCTACTTATCACTGATAAGAAAAATTTTTTTTCAGGAACTGAGGGAGGATTTTGCAGGCATATCCTATAATTTTTAGGTCCATGGGAAGAAGGACCAGGTTCCTTGCATGGGCGATGGGCACCCAGGGGCACTTGAGCTAATTTCCGCGTGTGCCAGTTATCCAGTCTACCGAGTGTTACGTAAACCGATATTTTCGCCGACATTTACTCGGGGCACCCGAGTTACCGGTAACTGGCAAAAGGAATAAAGGAAAAGGAACGGAAGATCGATCATGGCGTCCCGTGAGCACCGAGAAGCCACCTGCAAATCTCCCGACCCCCTGCACATGTTCTTTCTTTCCGCCTTGAATTTTAATGTTTCCTCTCTCGAGAGAGAGATCAATAGTCGCCACTTTGTAATTAGCATCACGGAGATCGCCGGCATCGTTAGGGTAATTGGCTCGCTGAGTGAAAAGAGCAAAATGGCCGCTCGGTGAAATTTCTAAAATCGAACCGCGGCTCGATTTTTAAGCCGGTCCCCCCGTTACAGCCATAAATCTCCGTCAGGGTAAAACATATCTCGATAAAAACAATCTCGAGGCCATCGACCCATCGCGAGGAAGAACTTCACTTCCGCTTTCATTTGGAATATCTCCCTCGCCGAAAGAGGCGCAGGAAAGAAATTCAAAAGAGAGGCCCACCCGTTTCTTGCCTAAGTAAAAACCTCCCTCGTTAATACGTGCCGACACGATTCGACGAAAATAATTAATTTAATAAATGTCACGACTTGATAAGTGCCGTCTAATGGCTGCACGACTGCAACATTGTTTCCGGTGGGTCGACGACCATTAATATCGGGACCATGAAGACATATCGATTATGATGACCGTGCCAAAAGTCATTGACAGCTTTGAAATGTGTGAAGAAAAAAAATAAATGCGTAAAAAAAAATATGGGGAAAAAAGGGTGTATAAAAAAAATTCCTAGACCACGATCCCTCCGAGATGACGTCAACTCCATATAAGAGATCCTCTCTGAGAGCACCTGACATTATATCTCTCGACCAGAGAGAGACCTCTCTTCTCGCAATTCCCACATTCACCAGGGCGCGGAAAGGTCGAGTCGTCGAAACTAAAAGTCGTCCTGGCAGTGGCGACCGAAAGGCGAAACCGCGGTTTCGGGGGAAAAAAAAAATAAAAAAGAGAAAAAAGAAATTCCAACAGGACCAAACAAAGCGATTCACCCTGATTTGTTCCTGATCCTGCGATCGACAAAAGCTAGATTTCGCCGGCAATCGGCCCGACCAGCTCTCTCCTCTCCGTTTCGAAAAGGCGGTCGATCGGCTCGGACGAGAGAGCCCGACCGAGTAGAGAATATTAAGTGAAATGAAATAAAATAGAAGCCCTCCGCCACCCTCGAAGGATATCTCAAAATTGAAGGAAGAAGCACAGAGATCCCCCGAAAATTCAAGTCGACGGAAAAAGTCTCTCAACCCTCCCTCTGCCCGACCCCCCGAAACGTATCCCAATAAAAGTAGCATCGCTCCCACGCATTGAAATCCCTCAGAAATCTCCCGTCGAAGTCCGACATTCCCCATCGTAAAAAAATTCCCAAGTCCTTGTATAAATAAAAAAAAATTAACATCCCAGAAGAAGAGATTCGTCGGAAGTGCATCCCGCTTTAAATCCCGAGCAAGTGCACCGCTCTTGGGTACATCTTGAAATATAAAAAAAAAAAAAAAGGAACCAGAGCAAAATAAATGATAAAAATCGCGGTACTTAAATCTGAATATAATTCACTGACCGGTCCTGGCGACGACGGCCAGCAGAAGAAGGACTCCGCTGACGATCATCATGACTCTGTCGTAGCAGCTCTCTCCGTCCGATGACTTCGATTTCCTATCTCAGGTCGCTCTCGTCGCCGTCGTCCCCTGGCGTCGAGTTGGAGGTCGCAGCGACCGGTCTCATGCGAGTAGGCACCCCGAAAGCTTCCCAGCGATCTTGGCTTAGGTAGGGGTCGAAGGACCTGGGGCCTCCTGGCAGCGGGTGCCCCCGATCAGCTGATCGCGAATTCGGCCGCAGCGGAGTGCACGCAGCAGCCTCCGGTATGCCGTTCAGAGAGCCGTCCACGTCGCAAAACGTACACTACGGTCACGAGGAGAGAAAGGCGACTGGGTACGCGAGGCGTGCTCGATACCTCCTGTCTTCATGGCATGGTCACCTTTCTAGCAAACCCGCCAACAAAGAAGGGAGTGTTAACTATACGGCCAGTACGGTTGAGTTTTCCACCACCATCGGGTCCTACGGTGGAGGGGAACTTGGTCCGGTACCTAGATCTTGCTATCCCTGATGTTATTTGGGTCCTTCGCATAAGTACCTTGATACATTTGCTGTTGTTATCTGGGTCCTGCACAGGAGTCGCTGGTACCATGGTCTCGGTACACTTGCCGATGTTATATGGATCCTTTGCAGGAGTCGCTGGTACTTGACATCCTTGCTACTGCTGTTTGGATTCTGTACAGAAGTCGTCGGTATCCGATATCCTTACTCCTGGTGCCTTGATCCCTGCGTCGCTTTTTCTTGCTGGTACCTGAGCTCTGGTACCGTTCTTGGTTAACGCCATTGCTGGTACCGTTCTTGGTTAACGCCATTGCTGGTACCGTTCATAGTTAACCCCATTGCTGGTACCGTTCTTAATTACCGCCACTGCGGTACCGTTCCCAGTTAACGCCATTGCTGGTACCGTTCTTAATTACCGCCACTGCTGGTACCGTTCTCAGTTACCGCCGGAAGGGTGAAGGGCTTTTCGAGGGGACCCAAAACGGGAGACCTCGAAAAACCACGGCTAATTAACTCCCAGGAATGACAGGCACTAACGGGAATTGAATTGGAATTGGAATCGAAAGTGAGTCCGATCCGCTTCTACGGTGGATCGGAATTTACAAAACGACCACTACCATGTGATACCGGTTACGTGACAAAATTTGCGCCACCGGTGCGCCGCTTCCACCTCCAATCTCCCTCCACCATACCGAACTTAACCCTCCGGATTTAATATTTCCAAGTCCATAGAAAAATGGATCCACCTTGAAACCTGAACGTTACCACTATCCACGACCAACCCGTCCACATAACTTCGAGGACTCTTAATAAAATTAAATCTTTATCAATCTGGTTCGCAGATTCCCACTCAAAGGATTCAGATCAATTTATATAAAATCCCTTGATTGGAGGTAAACATTTTATACGCTACGGTAAGAAAAAAAAAGAAAAACCACTTCAGACGCTTTCCCACGCAACGAGGGCCGGTCTCTCTCGATTCATAATTAAGGCGCATCTTGTCTGCCTCATTTCCACCGTCCAGTCCTTAATGATATCCTTTTCTCATTTTAGAAGCCGCCGATATTGGCCTCGTCATCGCTCATGGGAACCAGAGTCCCAGGCATTGTAAAAGGATATCCTGCAAAGGGATCCCGAGAGCTCGCTCTTTCTTGCGGCCCGATAGATTCGTTCCTGTTACCGGCCCGAGTTGTTCGCGTTACCACGTGTATTACGTGCTAAGTATTAACCTTTCTTTTCACCTTGATCACACGAATACCTGGCCGGCGCTCGCCGTCTCTGCGAGGGGAATGCGAGAGAAGTGATATTTTCGATTTTCTCACAGGAATCCAGGATATGCCGTTACGACACCTCGTCATTAATCTATCTGCCGGAGTAATCAATGAATTGCCAAAGAATAGCGCCGTACAATCGTCCCCAATATTTACGTAATCGCTCGTTACCGTGCCCCGACTCTAACGCGGATGTTACACTTCCCGGTCAGATGTTGCGCAGATGCTTTCAAACGAAATGGGCTCTATCGGCTGCACCTAGATCGCAGTATGCATCTGCAAATGCAGATCGGATGTTCCCATAATGAGGATTACCGACTTAAATCTAAAGAGCGACTTAAGGGGAGGCGAAAGACCGCCAACCGATGTACACAAGATGTACCGAGTCGCTGAGACCTCCCGTGAAATTTACATTTCTTTTCCTTCTCAATTTTCCTCCATACATTTTTGTAAGAAAATTACATTTCATCGGTGTAGGTACCTTCCTTGCGGCCTTTATGATCAGGCTTTAAATTTTTATGCGATTTGGTACCACCGGTTAGGAGAAAAGTTACACGATAGAACCCACGGACGCCACTTTCGCATCCCCTTAAGACTATATTCCGGGAGTGCCTTCTGGCTACATAAAATGGCAAGACATTTCCCCGTCTGCTCTGTATTAGTTTCCTATCAGTTTCTCATATCCATTGTGATTCCCTTTCTGGCCGCTTAAGCGTTACAATTGCAAGTCTTACCGCTTAATAGCGGCCATTAGGCACCTCGGTAGAAAGGTCAGAAACCGATTAATTGGTCTATTCATTATTGGTAATGACGTTCCGATTAGTAGACCGTTCATTATTGCTCGGTAGGCAGCAATCTGGACATTCCGCTGTTCATTCTTATTTGCGATAGTGCCTTTTTATCGCTTTATATTAAATTCCGCCTTAAGCGGCCATTTAACCGGGAAACCGTTTAAGAATCTTATTAAAAAGAAATTAAGAGCGCAAGACGTAACATACAGAGTATTACGTTAACAATGTTAATAAATTGGAGAGTAACGAGAGTATAAGCAACGATCGCCCGAGCTCCAGAAAAATGGAAGATTGTTCGCCGCCACCTTTCCATATTCTTCCAATTTTCTTAATGGTGGCGCAGACTTCAAGAAGGGGTTTTTGATAACGCACGCAAGTTATAGATAAGGACGATTGGTCTTTCGTTATCCAGCTAACCGGCAACGCTCGTTTTACTGTATTTGTATATCTGCGGCTGCAATGGCGAACAGAATAAGAGACCACTTTGCGGTCTCCGTCTGTCAACCGCAGATATAATGAGCGTCCACCAAAAACAAGCATCGATAGTTTCTTCTTTACCTCGTGCCTTCGGAAAATCGCAAGCGGCCGGTAACACGAGGAATTTCATAATCCTCGATTTCATAATTTCGCTAAAAGAATGTCAATAACGGCAATCTTGCTTTCATTTCTGGGCCGTCCATTATTTAACAACGCCAGGATCACTAAGCGGCGTTAAATTCCCCATGACAAATTAAAAAGGAAAAATCCCTTACGTCGATTTCATACTCTCAAAAAATCACATCTCGCGGACACCGGTTCCATGCCTCCGCGAGATGAGGACAGGATGAAAGAAAAAAATGAAAACTAGAAGAAGACCCCAAAAGGGTAGTCTTTGCGGCGAGGGGGTATTCCCCCAGGAAATCATTTTAACGCTTAAAGTGATATGGAAATCAGTTGGAAATCCTAAGCAGACATCACTGCATTGAGTTTCACCAGTTACGCAGTCGGATTATTTATTGTATGAAATCGGACAATCGGCTCAGAAAGATGGAAATGATTTTCCCTGATTTCCAAGTGAAATGGCCCCTCGGTTGCGGACAGAAATCGGTTCCTTCCGCAAAGGAGGCTGCCTTGAGTATCCCCGAGCAGAGTAGACAAGTCTGTCCGGGAGTGGATAGAAAAACGTAATAAACCCGGTCACAAGAGCGGCTACGGTTCTTGTGAAACAATTGGCTGCACATTCGTGGGCACGTATACGTCCCGCTAACGAAGTGGCGGTGTAGCAATCACCGGGACAGAACATATCGTAACTATAACGAAACGATTCCCGGACAGACTCGGATCCGCCTCCGCTCGCCTGGCAATAATAATCGCCGACCCTGAAAGCCAGCTATCCCTGTCTTATCGTGGTAGATCGAGCTGGGGTCCCAGGAACCATGATGGAAGAAAAGGCGATACTTCTTGCGTGGCTTTCACAAGAGACGCCGAGTCCCTGCGGCGTGGGACGAGACCTGGCCAGCGAAAACGTGGCTCCTGGTACCCCATACCTCGATTACAATTTTACAACAATCGCGAAAAGACCCCTCCAAGAAGGACTCTTCAGGGTCTCCCTCGCGGCGTCTTCCGGCACAGCTTCCAAAAAATGGCGTCTTCGGCTCCTTCTTTAAGGCGATCAGCTGGTCCCCGCTCTTCCTCTTCTTCCCTGGAAACGCAAAGATCTGATTATCGAGCCTCCCACAATTTCGCCACCCCTTAAGAGTTCTTTATCTCTACCTTTCTTCGCCTCTCCGCGGGACCGGAACTTCCTGCGAGTCCGCCTCTAAATGCGTTAATTATCCAGTTCTATACCGAGACCCTATCTGGAGATAAGACCTGAGATGATTACAGAGCGGAGGTACCGAACGGCGCGGTCTGTCAAATAATTTTGCATTTATTAATACCTATGAAACGACGTTTATGTACAGAAATCTCACGTGTCACGGCGGACTCGTCGGTCGACGGAGAGCAACCTCGGTTCCCCAAGAACCCGGGTAATACACAGATTCCTAGAGACAAGCGATTGCCCTAAATTTCTACAATTTGTACAGTCACAGATCGAGTAAATCGAGATATCCCCTCGGACAAGACGAATCGATACAAACGCGTTACACTTGCGACCTACCCTACCACGAGTCCTTAAAAACATTTTAAAAAGCCTTTAAAATTTATTTTAAAAACCTGTCATGAGAGTACACCGGTCGACGTAAATATACATATATATTTTTTATATATATATATTTATATAATAGTGTATAAAACAATGCGATAGAATCTCGCGAAAAAATATCTCTCCATATCCGCCAGCGATTGTGACAATAGCCTCTATCCTCTCCGCGATCAAACGATCCTCGACAATGATCCTAATAACTGAAGGGCAGATCGCCGATCCTCGAATTTACCATATCTCCGTTCGCGCCTTAATCGTTAAATAATCGCTAATAAAATATTGTATACAATCCTAATTGCTAACTAATTCAATTTGCCTATACTTCTTCCGTAGATTGCTCACGGGATCCTTGAACAGAACCGGGTCCAGTCTCAGGTTTGATCGCAACAGAGGCATGTAGCCGAAAACGGCGACGAAGGTGTTCATGCAGGTCTGCCGCTGAACGAAATGATCCGGATCGTTCCAGGGAGATCTGGATAAAAGATAAGATCCCCATTAGACGGTGGAATTGAAAAGAAGTTAACAAGCCGAAGGTAAACTCCTTATTCAGGGTCCTACCTAATTCCAGCCACGGAGGTGTCCTTGTAGAGCTTTCTCTGGGTCACCTTGATGGGGGGTCGGCGAGTGACATGGCTCACCAGGAAATTCATAAGTATGTCCTCGCAGTTCTGCGACTGCTCGACCGTCTTATGAAGGGTCGAGCTGAGTAATTCGGTGTAAAGGGTGTTGTAATAGCGATGATAAAAGGCGGCCCCAGTAAGGACGATGCTATAGTCGTTCGTCCACTTGCTGGTGTAGCCCCAGGATCGCTGTAACGATAGGAAAGGTTGATCGGACCCCTCCATAAGTCACGATAGTCTACCAAAAATAACAGGTGCCATCGGCAAGTACCTTCGAGTCGTCCCAATAATGAGACCTAGCAGGATACCCGACAATTCGGTCGGGAAAGGAGCGCCAGACGGTGAAGGCAAAGTCGATCTCGTCGGTGTTCAAGGTGGCGTCCTCGTCTAACGATAAAATGGCACTAGTTTTGATTAGAGGATGGGGATAGAAACGATGAGAGATCCCCTCGGCAGCGATAACGTGGATCGACGCCTTGATTCCCTGCCATCGAGGCCTCCTTGGTAGCGGAATGTCCGAGTTCCACATTAAGATTATCTGAAAGTAGAAGTCAATTTGCTAACGACCTTGATTACCGGGCTTATCAGGGGTTTATCCGCACCGACCGAAGGGAGGGGTTCTACTCTCGTCGGTAAAACAGGGAAACGCCTGGCAACGGACGCCGTTCCGCGTCTGTATACGGAACGAGTGCGAGTAAATAAAGATGCGGAAAAATGGGAGCTTAGAAAAACCCCTCGTAGATAGCGCCCATGTGTTCTCTCTCACCTTATCTAAATATTTACTCTTGGCGAGGCTCCTTAGGAGGCGATAGAGCACGGCGGTGGAGCCCAACTGCGAGTAGATGATCGCCGTGAACGCGTTTCCAGGATTACCGTTGGTGAACGGCAATTCCTGCTGACTGTCCGCGAACTGCGGCAAGATCACCAGGGCCCCAGGATTCGTGTTCCAAACGATGCCCTCCCGCCTCCCTTCCCGAGGGATCCGTTCGCGAATGTTCTGACAAAATATTGGACGGTCAAAACGGATAGATACAATTATTTAAAAATATCTAGCGAAAGGAAGGGCTCACCTCGAATACTGTGAATATGATTTTCTCAATCGAAGAGAAGTATCGCTCCCACAGGAATTGCGTCTGCTGCCGTAACTTCAGGATCCTCGTGTCAGGAACCGACCTTACGATGTCTGGGATCTGGAAATTAGGAAAGAGTTTAAGCACGGGTTGGACGTCTTCGGGACCGATTACACGTAAAGGGACTGACTTGGAGCAAAAGCCTTTCGTCCGAGAATATCACCGCTTGTTTCCAGTCGATGCGTTCGTGAAATGGAAGAGCCCATCCGTTACTTAGGATGACTGGTATGCACCCAGCACGTAATGCCTCCAGGAACCTAAAGCTGCCGAGTCTTCGTCCTCGTGGGACCAGACAGAACGTCGAGTTCATCAGCAAAATTTCGTAGTCGTACCTGGAAAACAAACCAGTCGCATGAACGATCTCTCCATTAAATTACAACAAATAAATATAATTTAGCGAAAATAGGTAGATTGATAAGTAAATAGAAACGCGACAAAATCTCGACGCTCGCCGCAACAGGTGGACGGTACGCCACCAAGAGAGGATATAATTAACCCACGTATCGACCATCCCCATACGGCGGCATGGCAAACTTTTTCTAACGCCGTTCATTATTTTTACCCTAGCCAAGGTTATCGTTAACACCTTATCGATATCGGTTTTCTCAAGCGGAAGCATTAACGGGACGAGCGCCGAGCCCCGTCTATATTAAATAAAAGGTGTTGGCCCTTCTTCTCTTCTACCAGAGGCGCAATGAATTAGATACGTAAGGGCTAAATTCCCGTAACCGGTCACGCGACAATGGGTCAAACGGTGGGCGAAACTCCACGTGATGATCATCCAGGAGGGTTGCTCGTGATCATCAGAGGGAAGGGCTTGACCTGGACATCACCCAGGACACTCACGTGTCGTACTCCTGGTTGTCCTGCTGGCAGTGTTCGTCCTGGAACTCCCTCCAGGCCTTGCCGTGTCGGCAGGTGGTGACGAAGACGAGGTCCTTCCCGTTGTGCAGGTGATACAACGCGTTCCTGGTCTCGGACCCGATGCCGTGTACGTATCTCTTCCCCTTGAAGGCCGCGACGTACTTCTTGTTGTTCGGGAAATTATTCTCGGGCGCCTGGCCGGGTTCGCCGCCCCTCTCGGGGTGTTGCTTCCCGAAGAGGGGGATGGAAACGTCGAAGTTCGGCCTGAGCTTGAAGACGGACATGCTCGCCTTGGCGAGCATAGCGTAGCCCAGGTCGAAGGCCAGGGCCTCCTCCGCGTAATCCGGCCAGGTCCCGGAATAAAGGTTGAAGACCAGGTGGTTCCTGCCGTTGTTCCAGTGGGGCAGACGCAGCAGCTTCGAGGGCAGGTTGTGAACGAACTCGGCGGAGAGCGGGTCCCTGTCCAGGGTATCCAGGGCCAGCACGAGGATGCACGCCCGGGCGGGGTCGGAGGTGTAGTATCTCGACTCGGTGATCACGTTGAGTATCTTCTGGTAGAGCGGGCTGATCGCGTCCTCGACCGGATACACGTAAACCGTGAATCCCTGTTTACACCTGGCAAAGTCGAAGCAGGTCTCCATGCGGCATTGCCTGCCGTTCCGGGGCGACCCCGCGCCCTGGCGGACGCTCGTCCTCGGCTCCTCCTCGAGGAACTCCTCCCTCGGCTCGACGTATGAGGGCAGTCGCTCCTGGAGTAGCCGCTTCTTTCCCGTCCACTTCTCGCTTTTTAACCGGTAACCGCCGAAGTAGCAGTAGCCCAGGAACGCGCAGGTCACGAACAGCAGCAGGTACCGCTTCTTGGCCTGCATCCTCGCTAACGAGCACCGCCTCCGCGCTCATGCATCCCCTCCGGACTCTCCAGGACAGCTTCCACCTGGACTGGCCATCTCCCCGGCCTCAGGGCAGCGAGAACTCACCCTTCCTCGACGACGACGACCCGTTACGACGCTGCCGGCTCCATCGCCCGATGACGTTCCTGCAACAAGGGACTCTCTTACTTATGCGGAACTCTATGACCGATCGCGCCATATCGCCGCCCAGGGACGGACGTCGCGGGTTCCTTTTCGCGGGTTCTCCGCCTTTTCGATCCAAACAAAAAGACACTTCGCTCTATTTCGGGCCAGGACCAGATGCTGGCCATGGACTCTACCACTCCGATGCTGGGGATACCCATTCGGAAGGGTTCGGGGCAATCAGGGATACGATAGGTGCCACGTTGGGTTTTAAACACCCTCTTCCTTTTCTTGGGATACGTCTAATGTCTGTTGACGGACTCCTCTTCGTATTCTATTTTTAAGTTCTGTACTAGGGAAAAATAATCAAAGCCCGTGAGGAAATAACACAACTGTCGGTTCAGCATTTTTTATCGAGCTTTGGTTTGGTCGGGTTCAATGTGTAATGCAAGTTCTTATCGTGGTCACTTGTAATCGCGATGCTACGTCACTGGATTTATCCGGGCAGTTGCACGGTTCGCTCTTGTACTCCTGGTCGCGATATCTCGAGGACTGCTCGAGTGCTCCATCGCAGGTTCTTGAAATTATCTCTCGATCCTCTTCAGGGGTACAAAAAAAGTACATGCAATTCGGTCTACGAGTGGGGAGATAAGCTCGAGGTATTACACAATCTGTAAATCACAGTGGATTTCAATTATAGAACCGAATGACAAATTTCTCTATTAGTTAAATTAATTTGATCGATTTCTTAATAAAAGACATACTGCCCTTTGTTTTAAAAAGTGTCAAGAAAACATAAAGCCATGGGATTTAAAATTACATACCAAAAATAAATTATTATACTATTTGGAAATCGTATAGCAGGTGCTCTGTTCGGTTACTAGAAATGTAAAAATGTTCAATAAAAAAAACTAAGGAAGAATTTTATCAAATGGAGTAACGAACAACCCATAGTAGTACTACCCACTTTTGATAAGGGACCGTCAGAGAAGAAGGCGTGCAAAAGATAAGGAATTGCACACAATAGCAGAAAAAATTCATTCTATGGCTGAGAAGGAGCATACCTCGGAGTAAATTGAAGACAGCTCAGCACTTCCTGAATGAAGTGCAAGGATAGCATATCTTTCGACTCGATCTGCTCGTACATGATGCCGCCAAGTCCTGGCTACGTGGTACCGTCCGCATCGTATGCAGAGACAGGAGTCGTCTGGTAACTTAGTAATCTCCCTGATATAAAATCTATCTTCGAGTATTGCTTCAGTCAAGTCGTAACATCTATCACGATCTTAAAGCTAGTTGATAGTATTGCATTGAAATGTAAGAGCGGGGAACTAGCATTGGTTGCCTGATTGGTATAAGAACTAGGACTGATTTGGTTGACTACCAAATGGTCTTTGGCGAAGCGACGGTCATGTCAGGGATTCACCTATCGCACTTAACGCGCTGATACTGGCGACGAGTCATTTTGATTAACTCAAGAAACCGAAGTGCGAAATCATCGGACCGCGCGGCGAAACTTTGAGGTTAGTCGCGACGACAAGCGGACGCCTTCTTGCCGGCAGCATCACGGAAGCGCGCATTTTCCCCCTGAATCGCCTCGCACTCGCGAAATCGATGGAAAAACGCCTCCTCCGAGCGCGAAATCATTGCACGCACCGTATCAAATAATTGGCTTTTTAAATGCAGAACGGCAAGGAGAGATGAGTTGGGAGATTGCTCACGGGCAGGGTCGCGCGATCGCATCCTGTGCTGCCCTCTGGTTTCGTACGTTAGCTATCACCATTTTTTGCCCCCTATTTGCGAATAAAATAAATAAGGTAAGGAAAGAGTAAAGTCAAAGAGGGCGCCACGAGTATTCTTCCCATACCATCAAAAGCCGCATGGTATTACCATCACGAGTACGTGATACCAACGGCGACTGGTAGATGGCACCGCCATCCCGAGTGCGCGAGCCCCTACCAGAAATTGACATAATTTTTAAATATTTCTTCGTAGTACTACAAGTGTATCCTGCTAATTTTTAATAGATATGATATTTAAGTTATAGAGTTACCAATAAATGTGCACGATTGTGAACTTACTAATTTGAGAACGGAGGAATATGTTTCGCTGTTTCCTTTAAGTGATATCCTTACTCTTCGAACGACACTGTACCTACTGAAATGGAAAATGTCTTTCCAAAGCTGGTTAGATATTAAAAAATTTGTACCTTGACCAGCGAGACCTTCTGTTGTATTCAGATATAATGAACATAGAAACACATTCGTTATACCTATGCAGACATCCATTCGTTTTTTGCCATCCTCACTCTCGTGGAGTTTGCACCCTTTCCATCTAATTCCTTGCACAATAATTCTAGGCAATAACAACTTCATAATGACTTGGCAAACTTATGCAGCGATGACTAAATATCGGTCCTAGGCACATATTCCAGGTGCTTGACATAGAATTCTTGCGAGGATAGCAGTTAACTTTTGCCACTCACTATTAATATCTATTTATAAACTCTGAATAACTTCAAACCTAATTTTACATAACTTAGTACTTTCCATGGATAATATTACAAAAATTTCATTTTAATGAAATGGAAATCACATTTCAGACTATATTGTCCTTTTGTAAATCCATTACATTAGTAAATTTGAACAATTAGATGTAATGCAAAATATTACTTTATATTGTTATATAGACGAACATAAATAACTTATGATATATAAGAAACTTCTAAGTACAAAACAATATTTTCTAGACTATGTATATTCAAACTCGTTATTCCTCAAAATTAGATTTGTCTTTGGTGTCCTCTTCCTCGGTGTTGAAGCTCTCGCTTTCTTCGTTACTTTCTGAACTAGCGTTAATTTCATTACTTTCTGAACTAGTGTTAATGTCATCACTTTGCAAGATATTTGTGTCAGTACTGCCTGCAGAGAACTTTGGTCCATCCAATAATTTGTCACCGTCCCAAATCTTTAATTTAGTCGATCGTTTCCCACGCTTATTCCTCTTTCTATTGTCAGCCTGTATTTCAATTACGTTACCTCTAACAACGGGCCATTCTCGTTGTTTCTGTAAATATTCCATCGCCACTATGGGATCTTCCATTTTGATGAATGCGGCTCTACAATTAATTTTGAAAATAGTACAGAAGAGCTACAAATTATCATTACTATGTACATTTTATTAATAATAATTACCTTGTGTTTCTGCCGCTTGCGCTTAGCATAGAAACTGACGTACTCCCAGGGAATGCTCCCATAATTTCCTGCCGTTTAGTCCCCAACTTTATATTTGTTAGAAACAACCTGAAATTAAGTAACAGAAACGACTTAAAATAAATCTCTACTTTTACATACTAATTTTATTTAAAGTCAACTTACACTTTCGATCGTTTTACTTCTGGCTCAGGTTTAGGAATGACAATTTTTTTCTTCGGTATGTTTATTAATTCGGCATGTTTTGCCTTTGGCGTCGTCACAATGATAGGCTTCCCGTCAACGGTTTTACTTTTCACTAGCTTCATGTTTTTGATTTTGTCCTCAAATGTCGGGAATACAATGTAACAATCTCTGGCGGAATGTCGCTTCAGCCTGACCTTATAGTCACCAACAAATAATTCCCTGATTTCTTGTTCATTTCGAATAGTGCGTGGCAAACGAACGTAAAGTGATCTCCTACGCTCCTCTGCATCTCTATGTACAGGTTTCTTCATCATCTTTCTGAACAAACGGGAATTGAAAATACCAGATTAATTGAAAGTTCAAACAGATAACAGTTCCTTTAACACAAATATACAACTTAACAGAAAAATTCGAAAAGCACCTTGCAAACGTGTCGACAAATACCAGGAATATCAGGTTCTGCTACTTTCTGATGTCATGTAGATTGGAATTCTTAAGGAAAATGTGTGGCTACTGAATTAACGGAAGTGGCGCCATCTTTGGATGGAATCGATGCAATGAGTTTCAGTAGTCTCGCCTTTTCGTAGCGACATAACCTTCTAATCCCAGCTGAACCCGTGACTGTTAATTCGAGAAGAAGTCGAGATCCCAGATTTCTACCTAGAGTTCGGTAAAATTAGGAAAAATGATTCGTCCGCTTTCGTTGCTTCGGACAACCGTCCGCAAATATTCAACACCACCGCCAGGATTCAAGAAAACCGTTTATGAGGCTGTGGGAATGCCTGAACCCAACCGTGAGTTTGATTTCGATACTGAATTAAATGCATCCAGAGTACGTTCGAGCACCATGCAAAACTACGCATTAATTCTACCATTCGAAAATCTGTCATTTGTTTCATTTCTACCTCATGTATTTTTGTTTCTCAGTTAATAACAATACCGTTTAACACAAGTACGGATCCTTTTAAAAATTCCTCCCTTTTTACACGGGAATTATGTAACGCGTTTTCTTCCAGCAAAACTGGTTACGCTTTGGAAGGGACTAACGTTCTTCGTAGCCGGGCCAGCATTGGTACTTGTAATGATCAATGCGTACATGGAAGAAAAGAAAGAGCATGGAAAGAGACCTGAATTTATTCCATACGAACACTTAAGGATTCGAAACAAAGTACGTAGTATTCATATTTCGCAGGGAGATCACGATACATTTTCATATTTGGCGATCTAAACTTTCTATCACATGTTCTTCTTATGCAGCCTTTCCCATGGGGTGATGGAAATCACACTCTCTTCCATAATCCCAAAATGAATGCTCTGCCTACTGGTTATGAAGAAGACTTGTAAGACACGTGGTTTTCAAATAGTCACTACAACATTATCGGTTGTAGTAGCAGCCTCTGTAACCATTGTCAATCTACACAAAAGCCTGTACATTATTTATAACTATAAGGAAATAAATCTGGTCATAAAATAAATTCAGTTGTGTGACACCATCCGTATGTTTTTAAAACTTGCAAAAATGCATTCCAGGTTCTTGTTCTACTTTTTGTCATTTAAATATATGAATTACAAGGCACCAGTTCTTAACTGAGTTATGTTATGGGAACAAAAGAGGAAAACCAGGTTTTCATCAATTGTAGAGGAATGATTAAATAAAACAGTAGGTACAAAATCGAAAACTCTCTTATTTAAATTGTATTATGCGTTATTAACACTTATGCTAACAATAGAAACATCACAGAAACATTGCTGTTTGTAATAAAAGCTTTTATAAAGAGATGAGGGTAATAACATTTATATAATCATTTTTTAGAAAAGCTACAACGAACAATATATTAAACAGTAGTCATGGGAAAATTATCAGGATGAGGAACTTGTGGAAAATGTATCAGAAGAGTTGTGATTACTTTGGGATGCTTCATCAGTGTGCATGACACCTGCAGCCGGTACGCAAATATAGTGGTGTTCTTTGTTCCAGTGTTGTATTTGACACTCTACTGAACAATATGGAGCTTTATAACACACACCGCAAACAACCTTCCCTCTCTCGTTACAGTATAAGCAGAGCTTCTGGTTTTCATCATCCGCATCATTTTGTTCTGTTTGGGCATCGAGTACTTCTTCCGTTTCTCCTTCGCTAGGCATATTTTCTTCCATTCGTTTATCACACTCTTTATTCTTTGAATTCCGCTCATTTGACTCATGTACCAGATTCAATGGCTCTTCCTGCTCCACAATTTCCTGACATCGTGTATCTTCCTCTTGTCCTTGTTCTGCTTTATCGTGCTCCACTATCTCTTCTTGCTGCTTTTCATTATGTTTGCTCTCATCCTGTTTCTTCTGCTTGCCTCGGTTTCTATCTTCTTGTTCCCATTCATCTTGGACTACATCCTCTTGCTGCTGACTTTTTTCATCCCCATCTTCCTGATCCTGCGTCTTTCTATCTCCACCATCACTCTTATCTGCGTTCTCTTGCTCCTGTAATCTGTTTTGGTCTGACCTCTCTTCTGTTCGGGTACCATTCCGCTCATCGTTAACTTGTTCATTATCTTGCACTACCGATACACTCGGACAGTCTTTTCCTCTCCCTTCCGGGATTCTTATCCTATTGAATTTATCTAGCTTTAAATTATCGACTACTTCTGAAAACTCTCCCGATTCACCTACTTTATAAAATTGATCTTCAGGTATAGACCGAACATCTAAAATACTAGGCACTTCTATGGATTGCGATGCCTTATTAAATAAACTGTTTGCTTGTTCGGAGACCTCTCTGGGTTTAAGCGTCACTAAAACAGAATCATGTGATACCTTACGCTCAAAGATAACTTCAATCTCCGAAGGATCATTGATCTCTCTAAGGCACTCTGGATGCTGCTCCTGTGGCAGCACCATTGGCTCAGGCACTGACTCAGGTACTTGTTTCGATACTAAACTCGGCAGTCTTTGCGGAACTTGCTTTGGTACTTGCTTTGACGTTAACTCCTGTGTTTCCTTCAATACTGATGTAGGCACCGATTTGTTTGTATTGCTACATCCAGTTGCTACATCATTTACCACTTGCTCCAAACAGCTTAACAAAGACCTTTCTTGACAGGAACTCTCCATTTCCTGTTGCACCAGATTCACTCTCTTCCCCTCGACATTACCATTTAAATCGTTGAATTGTCTCTTTTTCTTGGCAGACTCAATGACGCTTCCCTTCTGCATTTTGTTTAGCTTCCCTTGTTGCTCTCTGCGAGACCTTTGCTGCGATTGCTGCTGCACCTTTTCTATTTCCCTATACAGCCTTTCCGACGTCTTCCATATTTCCCTGTAGGCCAGTATCTGTTGGTTTAGTATGATCTTCTGTAATTCAGTAAATATCACTGGAGAGTTTATTAGAACTTGGTACGTTGCGGGACTCTCTCTTGCGTTAACACCTTGCGTTTTCTTCATCGAATCAGACTGAGTACTAATACCACTTTCCCTTGTGTCAGCATTTTGCATAGAAGAAACACATTGCACTCTAGAAGCACCTTCTGTACCGAAATGGACTTTTTCATATGGAGGTGGAGGTGAAGGTTTATTTGACACCTGGCTATAGTGAGACATTTCTATAAACTCATTCATTGTTAATGGAATTAATCTAGCCTGTTTTAGCCTGTTGTTCACGGATGTCAAAGTATACTGTAGTAGGTAAGTATTATCCACCGTGCCTATCAGTGTCGCTAGTTGCATCAAGTAACCATTCAAAGTTTTGCAACTGGTGTACAAGTCTTGATATGTTTGAAACATTTCATTATTGTGCGGGTTCTGCACAGAGAGTGCTTTGAGGATCCTTTGCTTCTGTGCTCGTTGCCTGATGTCGATGATGTTGACAAGAATTTTCTCCATTAAGGCATCTTCCCTCTCTCTATCGAGAGTTTGTTGCTCTACTGAATTATTTACGTGATGTTGAAGAACAGATTGCTGCTGATTGAAGTTAAGATTGTGAGACACTTGTGGTTGACGGTGATACGTAGCAACGTTATGAATATTTTGTTGCAGGGATGGTTTTATTGCACTACTGGAAGAAGATTGATGAGCGGTTGGTATGGATGTTTGCAAACACTGGACAGACGGAGGAACTGCTTGTCGCATGGATGTGGCAGGTAAAGTATTCGGTGTTTGCTGCTTAACATTGAGAGGAGCTTCTTGGTGCGAGGTCAAGACAAATTGTCCATGTGCGCTTCCTTGTGAAATTAATTGTGCACCAGGTGCACCAGATGCACTGGATGCACTGGATGCTTGAACGTTGGGATTGTATGATACCGACGAAGTAGAAGCCTGTTGACTATAATTCATTGTAGGATTCTGAGTCTTCATGTTAGATGTAATGAGAGAATTGATCACTTCCACCATTGTTGGATAATTCATGATTGATGAGATAGCCTGTGTTAGACCACTATCCTTGTTAGTCACAGAAACTGATTGTTGCACGTTAGGGTTATAAGAGGCAGTGAACGATGCTTGCAGTTGCTGAGAATTGGTACATGTATTCGACAACACATCTTGAGGTCCAGCCACTGTACAAGGCATCTGTGAAGTAAAAACCTGAGCCCTCATGCTTGTATCACATGAACTAGCTGTAAACTGTCGACTCATGTTCTGATTTAAAGTTTCAGGGCTACAGGAGTTTTCTGAAATAGAAGGCATCGGGGTAGGAGCCCACCTAGAACCAAGCTCCCTTGGATGAAGTACCCGCAGCCGAGGCAGTGCAACTGACTGAGCGAACTGCTCTGGGGCAGTTTCCTTATTTGCAGCATGCTCTATGGACAAATCCTTGTTAACAGTACTGGACTCGGTAACTATCTCATTTGAAGTACTTATACTGGGACCTTCTACATTCGACGAATTTTTTTTATTTGTTCTTTGATTCGTAGTATCCTTATTAAGTTCCCCGGCATTCTGAAGATTTTCTTCCAAGTCTTTCTCTGTCTGTTCTACTTTGATTTCCTGCTTAATGGAGATTGTTTTGTCAATATCTTTATCAGCATTTTTCAGCTCTAAAGCAACTGAATCTTTCGATATTGAAGTATTTGAGGGTTCAGTGGTTGATTTATCTTGACTAGGTACAGCTTTGCTTACAGTTTGTTCAATGGCCGCTTTAGTCCTTAAATTGCTATGAATTTGGACATTAATCATGTCATTGGTTAACTTATCTTGACTAGACACTGATAAGTTTGATTTAATAGATGCATCATTTGTCGATACTTTTGAGGTACCTAATGCTCCTTCGTTGATTCCTGACTGCTTCGATTCCTGGATACTGAGCACGTTTCCATTAAGGGTGAATTTACATCCATCGTTCATGTCCATGTTGAGAAGTTGATATAAATCCTGTTGCGCTGCTGAATCAATTAGAGTAGAATTATTGGAATTTTTTGAGGCAACCTTTGGAATCTGTGCTGGTTTGGTAACTGTAGTAGATACTATTTTTGGAGTTTCAACGTTTTTGTCAATGTCATCGCTACAGGCTGGGGAATTTGGGTCGGCATCGGAAGGACTGTCGAAATCCATTATTAATGAACCTGACTGATCAAGATCATCCTTCTCCTGTGGCATAGATGAATCAGGTGCTTGCCTTGGAGTTGAACACCGTTCTATTGACTGACGATTTAGTCTAATTACACTTCTAGTGTTTCCAGTTTCATTATTTACTTTATTTTGATGCGGCTGGATTTCCACATCACTGGAGCACGTACTACTGTCAGGTAGAACCCGAGGAGTTGGACACTTTTCCAAATCCATATCTTTTTCTTTCATGTTATTCTCTACCAAAGGATCGATCCTGTCACTGTCAAGACTAGGAGACTCGATGCCTACTCTATTATTCTTTTGTGCTGACGAAAGTATTGCAACTGGACTAATTTTCTCATTTTGGTGCACCGTTGGCAAACTTAAAGGTTCAAGTGAAACTCTACATTTAATATCTTCTTTCGTCGAATCAGGTGATATTTTTCTTTTTTTATATTTGTCTTCAGATGGCAATCCATGTTTTGGTACCATTTTCACAGAATCATGCACAGACATGTACTTCTTTTTCGATACATAACGATCTACTTTACTTTCTTCGTCATCATCGCTTGACGTCATGTCACCAAAGAGTTGACGATATTTTTCGTGTCTTCTTCTTCTCTTTTGTGCTTTTATTTCACCTTGTTTGCCTTCTTCAATTTTTTTATGTTTGATGCCAAAATACTTTCCTTCTTTTTTGTAATCCTCCTTTTGTGTATTTGTTTTAAGATCATCAAAATTTTCCTTTCTTGGCTCTTCCACTTTGCTCTGACATAGAAAAGAAGTTTCCTTGCTGCTTCCTGTGCTACCTCGCTGTGGAGAAATGTTTTTCGAGTCCTTTTCTGGAATTCTCTCCTTGGGCTGAGTTCTTTCTTCAACTACATTCTTCAATCCTTCATCAGATACTCTGCATTTACTAGAAACAGTGATCCTGATAATATTGGCAGGTCTTTTAGAATGAGTTATCAATTCTCTGTCATGTGAACTTTTCTTCAGTCTCTTTTCTCTATTTCCTTCTCGTTTCCTGACTTTTTCATCAGGTACCCTTAAAATACTGGAAGATATGACTGTCAAAGCACTTGTGGCTTCTGTAGGAAATAGCGTTGTTTCTTCTGTACTCAAGTGTCTTTTGAGCTTATCCCTACTTTTATCTTGCTCAATTAACTTGTACTTTGATATCCTATCGTCGTTCCCCAAACTTCTTTGAGTTTTCTCCTTTGCCATTTTCGCGAGGTGCTTGTAAGATATCTCATTACCCGGTGAACCAACTTCCGGGACGCTCGAGTCAGCTTTACGTACTTCGGCGCTAGATTTGGCATAAGATTGTCTCTGTACCTCGACAGTACGAGTCCTTTCATTAAGAGATTGTTTTCTCCTATCAACTTGTGCAACGCAGCTATTTAGATGTACCCATGGCCCGTCATCTAACTCCGGCATCGAATGCACTTTCTTCGACGCCAACTCTTGCTGTTCCTTTCTCATAGATCCACTACTCTTTTCGCATTCGCCAATCCTGTCACGTCCATCGGTGTTATCGTGTTTCCTGTACTCGCTGCTACAGTGGTTCTCGTTGCTCCCACAGTCCGTGCTCTTCTCGGATCCATTCCTCTTATCACGTCCATCTCTCTTGCGATAGTGGTGTAAATTGATCCTGTCGCTCCTGTGTGACTTCCTGTCATCCGTGGCAGACAACTTCCTGTCCTCTCGAGACACCTGACATCTGCAAGCAATTAAAAACGTGTAAATCCCAAGTCCTAAAACTATTGACCATACATTTTCTACCTTCAGTCGTAAGTTATTTAAATTTTCCCCGACGTAACACAAATTTTCTTAAAACCCGAGCTCAACTAATCACAGTAAAAAAAGAGTTTCACGCAACCCACGATTATCGCAACGCCCCTAACCTGAACAATCTTCCCCCGTTCCGTTTCCGCTTAATAATCTACTCTGCGGAAACGGCGCTATCGCAATGCAACTCTTAATAAAAAAAAAATAAAAAACTTGCAAAGCTATTTCCCTCGCTACATGTTTACAAAGCCGCCAAAAATATGCGCACGTGCCTGCGCAGTAGTTACCTGCGCGAAGTCGTCCTCCATAGGTCTGCGCACAAGTGGTCGGCCGACGCGGGCTTTTTGAAAGCGTGTCTCTTCCATCCGCAGTCGGCGAATACGCCGAGCGGCACGCGACCAGTCGTGGAATACATAAATGAAGTTTACAGACCGCCACGAGAGGACGAAACCCGCGACGGTGAACTTCGATCAACGAACCACCTCGTACTGCGGCCGAGGAGCGAAAAGATCAGCAGAAAAACGAAAAGGCTCGCGAACGTCCAAGAAGTGGGGAGGGGCCCGTCGAAGGGCTTGCGATTGGCCGGGTCGGTGGGGCTACACGAGTGCGTCCCCGAGAGTTTATGACTTCCCGGAACCGCGGGTAATACTAAGCCTACTCGAGAGACCCTAAGCGACACGTGATCCACGCGAGTAAGAGAGAGACGGAGAAACAGAGGTCCACCAGTTTGTTTCTCTCGGGTTCGCTCGGTCGAAGAATCCGTCTCTGTCTTCGATTCAAGGCGAGGTTAGAATCCCCTCGACGCTCATAAATTCCGAACTACTCGAACCGGATCGAGCCCTAGTCTCGTTTTTCTTCGGCTTTTTGAAAGGATTTTTTTTTTCTTTACCATAAACTAGGGCATTGGGTTTACCCTGAGTTGGGTGTAGGTATAATGAGTCATATAATATACGCACATTCCAACGCATAATACGTCTGTAATTTTATACGCATGTTACTCATCATGGTAAACTACGTAGTTTGTTACGTAATACACGTGGATAAACCTCGAAAATCGCTAAATTACCAGACCCTGGTCTTACCCCTGTATCGCGGAGAGGGGACGTCGTTCCAACACCACCCGTGGTCTGCACATCAGTTGCAGCAGCCCTCGGTGGACGTCGGCCTTGTCGAGGCCCAGCTTCTCCAGGTTGTTCTTCAGCTAAAACATAAACATGAGATGAGGGATACCGGACTTGGTTCCTCGCTTAATGACATGCTCGTAAAGAGAACGTGACCATTCAGGAAGGACGGGCATTTAGCGATAAGGACCCTGGGACTGATAAACCGCTTTATAGCCGACACCGCCCTGGTCTGCACCCTTCAGGCCTTATCGCTGATTCGGCACCTAAATATATATAAGTAACCTTTCCCAAGTTTATTGCTCCTGGACGAAAAAGGGTCCTCGAGGACATCCTCAGAAGAAATATGTGTATTTTTGTACAAACGGTCTTCGGTCTAGCCTTTCCAATATGGCGGCTCTTTTTGCCGTCTGATTTTAATTTCACGTTTTCTACAAGCTTCCACGGATGGACTTCCGACTTTTTACCTCTACGGAATTGACGCGCCGTTTAAACGAGATATGGCTTTTGGGGACTGCCATAACCTCTGCCCTGTTACTTATATAGTAATTAATATAAATGGCATGATTTTAATTTGGGAAGCACCTTTTGGAGAAGAACGGCGCGCGGGATGCGCGGCTCTGCCTGCCGGAGCCATTCTTTCAGGGCGAAATTGTCTAGCCTCGGAGCCGCGTCGTTCGCCGCGAGCATCCTCTCGTCATAATTGCCGACAACCGAAAGACAAAACCAATGCCGTCAGCCCGCGAGATTCCCTTACGCTCGCGTCGGCCAATCAGCGAGCCGCAAGGGTGACGGCGCGTCGTGATTGGCTGCCGCCCGTATCGATCCTAAATCGACCCTAGATCGACCTCCGATTTGTTCGCGGGAATCTGCGTAAATCCGCGCAATCGAACTGCAGCCGTCGATCGTTCGTCGCCAGAATTAACACTGCAGAAATGACGCGTTCGGGCCGATGGATCTTTTTTCCACGACAAGTTAGGTTAGGCTTGCAAAGTGCATCGAATGATACTTTCGATTGCGACGATGCGATCGACGGTTTCCGAGGCACTCGATGGCCGTTGGCAAGGCACTCCTCAATATTGTCTCCACGGCGAGACGGTCATGACAATGAGCGTCTAAACAAATACGTGAAACGCGGGCGCGCAACTTACGCGCGCTATGACCACGTGAAACCGTCACGACCAGTCAGCAGTCACGACTGATCTAAAAGGAGACTCCGACTCGAGGCGTCGAGGGGGTCGCGTGATGTCACACTGCAAAGAACGTTGCCGATTGGTCCGGTCTTCACCCCTACTTTGAGGAATTTTATTTTTAAATTCATTCTTGAATTGCGCCATAAATCGCGAAATAGCACCAACGGGCTCGTCGCTCCTAGTGGGAAGAGTGAAATTTAATACGGTAGGAGATTTTTTCTTATTTCTTATACTTTTAAAGATGGCGCCCATTCGCGCGATAGCAGCGACGGCTCGTATTCTCGCGTTGGGTTGTCTAGTTGCGTCCCAGGGGTTGTGGAGAGAGAGACCGCCCGGGAGACCCGCATGTCGCGCGCGCATCGCGGCGTTCCTCTCGCACTCGTGTTTCAAGTGGGTGCGAGAAGGACAGCGCGGTAACTCGGCAGGTCACGTGATGGACCTAATGATGCAGGCAAGTGAAGCGGATAGATAACGTCGCTTCACCGAGGAGAGGAGGGAAGAAGAGAATCACATGCCGGAAAAACCGAGTAAGAGGAAGACAACCGTAGGTCATGATTGCTCCATTTTGAAAACATACCGAATAGATGGAAATGTTTAACGGTAACCAATGGGAACAATAAAAGGTTTGCCGGCATTCACAACTAGAAGGTATAATAGTACTATTAAGAAAATTTGGCTATTGTTAATGCCAGCTCCCGTTATAAAATTGTTTCAAGGCCATAAATTCGGACGAAGCAACTTTTAGTTCAATTTTCAAAACCGTTATTTTATTGCTCATTCAGATGTTTCCATCCTTTTCGAACAGGGTATTTCCCGCGTTTTAGCGCTACCCCTATTTCGGAAGTTAAGAGGCCACTGGCGGGACGAATGCGCCTGTAATTCAAATCGCCTTGTCAGCATTGACAGCATGAGAAGACCACCGGCGTTGAGAAACCTCGGCGCATTAGGTAGAATTACATCCGGCAAGCAGAAATTTGCCGACGAACAGTTCAAGTAGCTATATCCTGTCCACGGTAATCTACTGAGAATATCGCAACGTTTCCGATTAATGAACTCTGCCCTCCGTAGGTATTAGCTTGCGGTGCAAAGGCATCAGTCTTGCGGAGACTGCAGATGCCTAGCCACAGCCAGTAATAAGAACGGAATTTTCAGCATAAACAGCGCATCGGGTTTCAGCCGTACTTATGACTGACATGACGATTGGAAAGCAGGACCACGTCTCAAGGCGTATCAGCGCTAGAAGATGTAAAGGGTTTGAGGATGTTTACAAAATCTCTGTGGTCTTCAGAATCCATTCCTAAATGTTTACGTGTCGATCCGTTTTTCTAGCGTACGCTTAGTTTACAGAGGATACGACATACTGCGCCCCACGATGTTGACATGGATCTTGGCAGTTGCCACTAACACGAACACCATGCCTGGGGAGACCATCGAGGCCTTTATTTAATGCCTGCACGAGAGTGCAGTTCCTGGGTAGCTGTATCTGCTTAAGTTTATCAACTTACTCCCAAGAGCTTAGACGGTTTGTGGTTTTCTTTTCTACTCAGACACCGGATATCCGGAGGAAGGAGAAAATAATTGATTCTCAACCGGCAGTTGTGGCAGATCAAATCCCCTGGTTTCAGCGAGGGGCTTTTCTTCGCAAGGGCGAGAGACACGGACCGCAAGTTACCATCCACGACCGGATGGTCAGTGCGGTTCCCCGGGTTGCAACAATGTTTACCGACCGTAGCCATCCTATCAAGGTGGCGAACAGCTCGAGACTGAAGCATCGGTACGGAATTTGACATTGTCATGTGGCTGACCTACCTTCTGAGCTTTTCATTCGTCGCGGGGTGCAAATCAACCCCACTCTTCGTGGACTTTCGCATATGCTTGAATTTTTAATTCTAAAGGATAACCACCTGGTGCCAAGTTACAGCGGACATAAATTCATGTGCAAGTAATTAACGGCTATGCTACATACATTGAAGCCAGGCCCAGAGATAACCGAAAAGCCGGTGATAATCGATTTTTTTTGCACGATCGGCGCGTGCAGATTGCTCTTAACATGAGAGAGTTGTTCACTCACCTGCCGTTCATTCCGGATATTGTCAGGTCCACCTGCAACGCAATTATTCGGATCAGGTCAAGCAATGAGGCAATACGTATTAAGTATTGAACTCCGGTGCATTAATTTTGTCATACGCACCGATAAGATTTGCCTTTTTCCTTTTAGCGGTGCAAACTCTCCTCCTTCGCGGCATCGTCCTCGCCCTGGCCAATTAAACGGCTGGTGTCCTGAAAATTAATTTATTCAATTCGCACCTGGGATGATAACAGGTTCCAGGGTTTTTCTGTGTTCTTTTTTTGGAATCACCTGCACCTCGCGTTTATTTTGCGAAATTTAAATTTACGTTCTTTCGCCGAATCGTGCCTTTGGATATCGCATGCATAATGTTCGGAAGTTACAGTCATCATTTGTCTGAATGTCACATCGAAATTGGAGTTTGATACGCACTGATGGATGCGGAAGGCAGGTTATAAGGCTAATGAAGTTCGGTCGCAGAAAATATTCTGACTGGCAGAAAAAGAGTGGATATTATGCAAAGCTCGAGAGGCTCGACTACTCAACATGTCGCAGGAGCGCAGTCCCTTAAAATATTTAATAGGTAAAAATGAAATACGCGATTGCATACTGTCCAGCACATGAAAACGCTAACCTCGATAGCTCATTAAATCAATTAAATTTCAATTGATTAGCTGGAGCTTTCGGAGGAGTCTGCACGGTGTTAAGTGGACATCCTTTAGACACGATCAAAGTTAGGATACAAACGAGGCCGGAAGAATACAAAGGCACGGTAGACGCAGTGCAGAAGATTCTCACGAGAGAAGGACCTCTGGGACTGTACAAGGTACAAATTACAGCTACAGTAATACGTATAAAATAGGTACGTGTAATTAAATTTCTGTCGGAGGGTTCTTCAACTCTTCCTTGAAGACTCTTGTCAGGACTTAGTTCCTCCTACAGCCGATTGGTCGGCGTCCACCGGGAGCCACGACAGACATCTCAGCCACGGCTTTCCTTCACTCCACTTTATCGCTACAGCTGCGAAATTAGAACTTCACTTATTAATCGAAGTTCTGGACGTGGCAGAGTTTAAAGCAGGACTGAGGAGCTCTTCACGCAGTACTTACTGGTCGAGGAACCTGAACCGACTGGGTCGACTCGGTGGCGTTAATGATACCTGACCAGTGGGGAATTCCGGGTGCAAAATTCGGGATTTATTGTATTCCGGAAAGGCGTCCGGTTCTGGCGCCGTCCAGGGGGTTCGCGGAAATTCCGAAGGGCCGCACCGAGACCCTGGTCGCATACCTGCGGGGATAATTCCCATAATTGACCATTATGCATGCATTCAATATGTCCTACCATAACGATTCGAGTATAGCTTGAAAATTGCATTTACAGGGCATGAGTGCACCGTTGCTGTCGATCGTCCCCATGTTTTCGATAACCTTCTTGGGGTTCGGATTTGGCAAGAAACTTGTCAGCAAGCCGGATCAGGAGGTCCTCACGAGGCCGCAGCTCGTCCTCGCAGGCATGTTCAGTGGGGCCTGTACGACCGTGATTACGGTGCCAGGGGAGCGAATTAAATGTCTCCTGCAGGTGCAGGTATGCCAGGAGGATTCCGATAAAGGAGGGAGGACGTATCGGTAACCGGGATTTCTTTTTAACGCCTCAAGGCTGTCGACTCCAGGAAGTATACCGGCTTTGCGGACTGCGCCGTCAAGCTGTGGAAAGAGGGTGGAATTCGGAACTTCTACGTCGGGACCTGCGCCACTCTGTTAAGGGACGTCCCCGCCACCGGCGTATACTTTTTCACCTATGAAACCATCGGCGAATTTCTCGCCAGGACTTACGGAGAGGTAGGATCAAACGAGGACTTCGGTAGTCCTCTTCCTCTGGTTCGCTTTTCCAAAACGGGCGCTTCGCTGTCCAGACACGCGATCGGCCCACGTGTTCAACACTTGTTCCTTCGGGATGGGTCTGGTCATGGCCAGTGAAATCGACATTTTTCCTACCCCAAATAAATGTCGACCTCCCGTAGAGCCAGACGTCTCCGGGCGCCCTCTCGACATTTCTTTGCAGTGGACTTAAAATCCTGATATTTCGGTACAATGACGTTTCCCATGAATTATTTTTTTTCCCTGTTTTTTGTTAAAAGGCGGCGATGTGGCAGCCTTTGGTAGCCGGTGGTTGCGCCGGGATCATGAACTGGGTGGTCGGGATGCCGGCCGATGTAATGAAGTCTCGTTTGCAGACCGCACCTCTCGGGACGTACCCTCGAGGGGTTCGATCTCTTTTCCCAGAGCTGGTGCGACAAGAGGGTCTCCTGGTAATGTATCGGGGAGTAGGCCCGGTGATGATCCGGGCGTTCCCTGCTAACGCGGCCTGTTTCGTCGGCCTGGAGACAGCCATGAAGTTCCTCGACGCGTTCCTGCCTTGGCTGTGATTATCGTCACCTTCAACTGGAATATTAGAAACTTTTCAGGGCGGTGGTAAGTGCAACCCATCCACACGGTTAAAAACCAACTACCGACGAGGACTAACGTGTCTTACTTTGAAGGCTTTGCAGAAAAATGGCGGAAAAAGGTCTGTCCAGAAAATGTGGCACCCGGACTGTGCATTTAGGGGCAATAAAAATGTCGAACACGGAGAAGACTGTTTAACAGATGTCAAGGCAAGCCATCAACGTACCGAGTGTCCTCGGTGGTGCGTTTTCCCCAGGCGTTATGAAAACCAATAATCGGAGGTGTACACTTACCTGAGTACAAGAGCACTCTTACATGCATCTGAATCGCTCCAGAATGTTCATCGATAAATACCCTTTATTCAAACAAAGTAACATTGATGCTCACTTAAAGCATACCTTACGAACTTATACAGTGTACTCGATTATCGGCAACAATACAGCAGTAACGCTGGAAACAAAAAAATTAACGGTAATGTCGACAGCGTAACCGGCAATGACAAGAGCAATAATAATGACTCGGAGTGACGACGAGACCCGTGATGACGGCGATAACACAACACAAGTGATAACATTATCAAGATCAGTCATGATACCGTTCGACTATCGCTACCTTTAGTTTATTATTACTCTCAGTACACGGTGCTGATTAAATTAGAATTCACGGTAACCATCTTCTGCCTTGGGTTCCTCGTTAATTGAGAGATCCTCGTTCTACACCCTTTATATACATTTTATCACGCTCTAGTAGCCGTGGTAAAAGTCACTCGCGGTGGACGCGCGTGTAGAACGACATGTCTTTAGCGAGCGTTCAACTCACCGTCCATTTTCCATCGACCGTCCGCAGTTTTCGCTTCTTCTCTCTTCCATCTTCTTCGGCGCCCGGATTAGCGGGATTTGGTCGTCCCCGCCAACTCTCCGGACGTCCTGACTAGAATCTCGCCGAAGAAGCGGTTGCGCACCGCCCGACGTCGCCGGTGCCCTCGGAATAGCCACGAAGACGGCGATTAATTCACTAACTAATCGATAAAAATATACGGGAACTCCTCGACCGCCATCTTGGATCCATCGAACGCGTCACGGTTCTACGTTCTCTCATTCTGATTTCTTTAGATTTCTTTCATACATTCGACGCTTCGATCCATCCAAGAATCGAGGTCGAGAATTAACAAGGTAGAAACGTTAAATGGGCTCGCCAATTCCTCGGCGGTGTGCCTCGGTTAATCCGCCATTTTGGCTCGTTGTAATTAATCGTCAACGCAAACAATAAGACCTGCACGAGAGTGCGCGTCGGCTCGAATGGAACAGGGATTTTAGCGGCCACTCGGCCAAAGTAAAGCCCCGAAAACTAGAAAACACTTAACTCGAAGGTCGAATAATAACACGAGTACCTACGGACGCCATGCCTCCCCTTCGATGGGCAGTTTTACATTTTTCTCTTCTCTTCGCGCGCACCGCGGGAAAGGGACGCGATCGTCCGCCATTTTGACGTCCCTTTAGCGAGGGCCGCGACAATGGCCTCTCGCCGATTCTCACAATATTTCTGGAATTGGCAGAATCCATCCCGAGCGGAGTCTAGGTCGCGTTTCTCCCAGTGCTCGGGTTTCCCATTCGCCCAGGAAACGGCCCGATGGATGCGCAAATATCGCCGGTTTTTATCCTTATCTAAGGAGCTTTTTCCTTTTTAATCCTTATCTACCCTCGTTCCGCCATTTTGCTTAGCCCTATTCGAAATGGAAATTCGACGAGTATTCTCGCCTCGAGTGAATCCGTTACCGCTCGAGGATGATAATGAATTCGATATAATACACGACAGCTACAGTGATAACCCGGTCGGGAGCCGCGCTCGCGGTAATCAGACGAAGACAAAATGGCGGCCGCGCCTCGCCACCGGATTCCTCGTCACTCTTGTAGATACATATATGTATACGTATATACAGCCTATGAACAAACGTTTCCTCGGGTGCACCTCGTCTCGGTATACCGATTTACCATTAATCCTAGTCTCCGTAATGATAGAAGTAGTAGCGGTGGTAGCAATAATGGTAACAATAATAACGATGATGACGATGAGATGACGGTAATAATAATCGGCGGTGGTAGAGTAGTCTAGTACGATACGAGGAGTAGTAGTAATAGAGACGGTAGCAATAATAGCGATAGCAATAGCAGCGGTGGAGGCGTCGATACTAGCGGCGACCGCTTCGGGGGTAGTCCCTAATTATAATGGTAACAGTAACGGTGATAACAGTTATCGCAGCAAGAGCTCCAATGTCCGATATACAACTAAGCTAGACCCCTTTTTTACACCGATGAAAATCACCTCGTTGTCGATATACCTATGTCGCGCGTACCGTAATATATAAATGACTTATCGGCTAGGGTATGTACAAGTGCGCTCTCCTCTATGTACAGGCACCAAGTCCCTCCCGGTGGGATATTCCGCGGACGTTCCGCATCGCCTGCGGATCGTCCGGTTGCTTTTCTAATCTTAATCTTCGTCGTGGATCCTCCAGGACACTCGAGGGTTCTCGGCGAACGCGAGCGCCGGGTCCCGGTCGCGGTACCGGCGACCTCGACCACCAGGACGAGGTCGAAGGACCTTCATCCTTATCAGTAGGCCGCGGATGAGTCCCGCTGGTCGATGAGCGAGCATTAAGGGTACTCTCAGATGGGCGTGGGTAGGACGGTGAAGTCCTGGAGGGCGGTCTTCACCGTCTCGTAGATCGGCCGGTTGCTCTCGTCGGCGCAGTAACCGTCGGCCGTGCAGAGGGTCTGCAGTTTCGTCAGGTAGCTGTCGAAGTTCTCGTGGCCAATCTTCTCCTGGGGACCGCCAGGCACGCTCGGTATTCGCACGTGCTCCAGCAGGGAGAACATGTTCTCGCGCAGCGACTGGTAGTACTCGTTCAGGTTGTTATTCCGGTGCGCTATGGCGGAGGTCTCCTAGAAATTAACGATTAATATCATGTATCGAATCGCACCGTAACAGCGAGAATAACTCCGTAGAGTTTTGAGATAAATGTATTTTTTAGCGAGAAATTTGTATTTGGATCCGAGGTCTTCAGCTTGGATGGACACCAAGAGGAATTGGAGGGAGCGACTTTACCGACATGGGGAACGCACCTTGTCACCCTGCTTGAGCTGGTTCTCCATGGCGGTGATATTGGACTTGAGGCGCAGGACCTGAGACTCGACGCGGGCGTTCTCTCTCTGTAGTTCCGTGATCTCGGCCTCGAGTGTGTAGAGATCCTCGCCCTGGGCCTGACCGGCGGACCCGTTACCGCTCGGTCCACCAGGGCCTGCTCCTATCGCTCCACCCTGAGTCGCCGGACCACCGGCGTCCACCCCTGGGGGAACGACAAATTCTGTTCAGAGGGCCGTCGAGGACCTTAAAAGCGAGGGAGGGTTTCTCTGCCGAAATTCACAACCCTAGACATAGTTCGCTAGCAGATCTCGAAACGAACATGACCGAGCGAAAGTGGAAACATTGTGGAACCGAATCGCCAGTTTTGCCTTCCGTCGTAGGATGGCGCCACCAGGTTCAAAAGGTTTCCACGTTTGAAAGGAATGGTGAACTTTCATGAATGATTCATGGAAACCGATCGCGCCGTCCGCTGCGGCGTTATCCTCCGTTATCGAGAGACGCGCCATCGAGATTTATTATTATGAAAGTGATAACTTGCGTATTTGCGGCGTCACCTGTAAATAGAAAGGCTCGATAAAACCCGGACATACTATGAATTTCGACAGATTTTCCCTTGTAAACGTTAGGCCATAGAATAGCGGTAAACCTCGGTCCTTCCATCTATCGGATTTGCATCGAACTTCAAGCAACATTCACCAGGGAACTACGAGCTCCTAAGTGTCGACCGAGCCCCGGAATATATCGACGGTCGGTAACGCGACCATTTACAGAAGCATAACTGGCTGCTGCAGAACGGGACGGGAGATACCGAGGCGGACAACTCAAGGGAACTAAACGAATGGTCGGGCAGATACAGAGAAAGTGAGAGGCAGAGTCAGAGAAAAGGTGCAAGAAATGGAAAGTCTTAATTCGAGACGGCAGCTAGCGGGAAGAGTGATCGGGGATCGGTTAATAATCTATTTCCTCGCGAGTCAGCGATCGGTACCCGCGTAACCTCTAACATGCCGAATTTCGACGTGTGCTATTCAAGGAGAGAGAGAAAGAGAGAGAGAGAAAGAGAGAGGAAGGGATGCCGAGTTTACTAGTAACCGACACGTCAAGTGACCGGTCGCCAGCAAGTTAGTAAGTACATCGCGGCCACCTCCGGAGTTCATCTTTACCGGTCCGGGGATGAGGTTGGCTACGGTGTTGCCGGCCCCACCGCTAGATGGCGCCACCGTTCGCGCGCGACCGCGAAACGAAGCTCCCTCGACTCCCGGATCGCGAAGTGACCTATTATCGAAGATCGGCCGATAAAAAATCAGGTAATAGATCCAAGCTTTGCGATTATAGAAATTCCTTATCGTACTTACGCATTTGCTAAGGACCAGGCGGCGGTCGGTTCATACCAGGGATCGAAAACCGCAGCGTCCTGTGATTTATTTTCAGGCTAACCGAGATCGTTATGCCGACGATGATGCCGACTTTCGCTAGGCTTCGGTCGGACCAGGAAACCCGGTCGCGGCAAAAGTCGGCGCCTTTCCGACGCGGTTTCAACCCCTGGTTTGCACTACACGAGGCAGGGATGAAAATGGAGTTTGGGAGTTTGCGTGAGGTGCCATCATACCAGATGTAGACAACGGAGGGTGACCCTGAGTGTTGGCGTGCCTTCGACGGTTCGGTCGAAGCTAGCTATCGAGACGTTAACGTGGTGAGATCTTTCGAGACATTCCAACCGACAAGACCAACGAATTACGCGACGCGGGTGCCAACACTCGGACGTCGTTTTGTAAGACACTCGTGGATCTGTATGTAACATCGAAAACACATAGAACAAGTGGCGAGTACGTCAGTCCCTTACCTTCAAAAGTAAATGTTCTCCTCAAAGCTCAGGAAAGGAGCTGATCATGATCCCAGAATAAATCAGAATAGATTATTGTTCATCATAATGGCGATTCAATTCGTTTTGTCTTTTAGGGTTGTTTCTTGCACACAAGGGCGCTTTGCAGGGAGCGCTCGACGGGACCGAGGGAGTTCTTTCGGAGAGAGAAAAAGAGAGAGAGAGATAGAAGAAAGAAAAAGGAAGACGGAGAGCCCTTGCGTTACGTACAGGTGTCTTGCTGTAATAATTAATGGGTTGACCGCCGTCAAGTTTGGCCTGGACCAGACCTCGACCGTTGAACGTGGGACTTTTGAGTGTTACATGGGATCGACGTCTAGAGCACGTTTAAGGTTATGTTAAAAGACATCGAAAGATAAGGTAAACCTTTGAATCTTTACGTTGAAAATATTGAAAACTCCCGGCCAGGTGCACACCGGACTTCATCAGTGGTCAACCCCTCTTGCTTTTCGATGTCCGATGTCAATATTAACCGACGTGTCATGACGATCTGTCATTCCACAGGCTCGTCGTTGTGTCGCACTAAACGCGGCTAGTTATCGCAGCCAACGCCAGGGGACACCTGTACCAACCGAGTGCTGGAGAAAACGACAGCTCGGACAAGGAAAAACCTTGGCGAAGGGAGGAGGAGGAAACGCAAACAGAGTGGAAGAGAAGAAAAAGAGAGAAAAACATAGAGAGAGAGAAAGAGAACGGAAGAGGCCAGACGGGAATCAAAGTCTAAAGTCGAAAGACAGAGAGAAGTTGTAACAGGGGGAGAAACGGAAACAAAGAGAAAGAGAGAGGTTGACCTCATTGGTATGACAGCACATCATTGCGTGGAGAGCAGAGCAGAGCATAGCACAGCACAAGGTCTGATTACAAGGTCAAATATGCACAAATCTGCAAATAAAGTTACGATATCGCGCGCTCTAACATAATATCTACGCCTAGTACTAATATATCCAAGGCTGACTCGCAAATAGCGCTCGCAAGTTGCACTCGTGCCACGTAAACCGTGTACCTATATCCATATAATCACAAGGCTCAATCTTTGAAACCAGGGGATCCCGGACCAAGGGCCACCAGGACACGTCAAAGGACCCAAACTTGGTCCACGACTCACGGCCAGCGCTTTTGGAAAAATCAAGCCGCCGAATCTTCACCCGACCGTCCATTGGAAAAATATTCCCCTTAAGGGGATGTGAAAGTGCTCCCAAAGAATTCTCGTTCACGAAACTTTTACTCCAAACTGGGTGTACCGGGTCGATTCAAACTTTACAACGTGAAAGTGAAGGCTATAAGGAGCATCCTGACACCCATGGAAATTTCAACATTTTTTTTTTTTTTAATTTTATAGACATTTTTCAAATATTTCGTTAAAGTGAAATTTCATGAGCGTCAGGACCTTCCTTGTAGCCTTCATACTCGCGTTGTAAAGTTTGTATCGGTACACCCAGTTTGGAGAAAAGATTCATGAACGATTCAGCTTAAGGATGCCACTATGTCACATCCCCTTAACGGGACGAAAAGACTTTCGATGATATCGATAAGGACCTAGTGGTCATTAGATGGATGCAAACCGGCACGTCGTTCATCCGGCATCCTCCGGTGGAGGTGCATCGGGGTTGGACCCAGTCATCGAGGTCGCCCTTCCCGTTTTCCAAGTCGCCGTTCCAATTAACGGGCCAAACCGGCGCGCGTCGAATTTCCGGAGAAAATGGTCGCCGCGATAAGGGCGCCCCGGTGCATCGATATGGACTCGCTGGTTGCACGAGAGCGGAGGAGTAGGCGTCCCGGCGCGCAGACGCGAGTGGGCGACTCTCCGGGTTGCCGGATTGGCCGAGGGGGTGGAAAATAAGCGAAAACGAAGGAGCGTACCTGCCCATCGAGACTTCTGCGCCGTCTCTGCGGGAACGATTATCGCGGCCGAATCGATCATTCATTGGATGCACCCCCCCGGGCGGGGGCTGCACTTGGCGCACCACGAAAGAAACGGGGAACGGAAGAGGAAAAAGCGCCGCCCAGCTGCGGCGGAAACGTGGAAGAGACTCCCGGAGAACGACATGGCGACGGCGGCGAGCAGGAGGCACGACTTCCAAGGGGGAACTCGGACCCACCCCGTGTACAGGGATATAGGTAGACGTACGAGCGTAAAGGGAGGATTACTCGGTATGCCCTCACCGGTGATTCCTTTGCTGTACATGCCCGACATGTCGTCGAACTTCGGCTTCTTGACGGCGTGTCCCGCGATGGGACACCCGGAAAGGGACCTGTGGGTCGAGAAGGACCCGTTTATGTGGCCCACCCCGTCGCACCCTGGCGTTGGACAACTGACACCCTCGAACTTCATCGCCGTTGCTGCCGCCACGGCCGCTTTGTGCTGCTCCACCGTCCCGCCCGACTCCAGGACGCGCATCTTGTTCCGGTTGGCGATGGGGCACCCGGAAGCGCTGCAAACACCGAACACGTAGTTTATCGCCGGCCCCGGGGACCCGCTAGTATTTTTTTCCCCACCCGATCGCGGGTCTGGGAGCTTCCATGTCGCCGTTGCGGGTCGTCGACGGAACCCCCTTGGCGATAGAATTTTTATGCCGTGTATCGTCACAGCCATGGGGCTGGGTTCTTGTTCCAGGGGTTCCGTCGACGCCGGGATTTATTAGGGGGATTTTATTTTTTCGAGGTTTGCGCATTTTTTTTTTTTTTATTGAACTAGCGAAGTGGCATCGCTTCTGCCGGCGACGGTGGTCATTGATAAGCCGAACACCTGTTAACGCCGAAGATCGTCTTACCTGCGGTGCGACAGAAACTTCCCGGTCGCGTGTCCCGATCCGTCGCAACCTGGAATTGGACACCTGCCGCCCAAACCACCGTCATTTATCCATCCACACGGAGTAAGCGTGAAACGAGGGTAAACCGCCGTACATTAGTTCGATCGGTCGAAGGTGGCCCTAGGAGGTGATCGGTCGCACTTGGAACTGGTCGAGGGAAACGTTCCGGTCGCTATTTTGCGCCATTTCTTTCTTATCAATGTCTCTGGAACGCTTTCCATTGATCCGCGCTTTTGCGCGAATCAAGAAACTCGGTAGAGTTTCGAGCCAAATACATTTTTTAGCGAGAAACAGCGACGGGAGACGGAATGAATCTACGGGAATTTATTGACAGTCTTTTTGACATCACGTCGTGGCACTGGAGACTAGTTTAAAAATGCAAAGAAGAAACTTCCACCCTCGGAAGATCTCATCGAGAGATAATTATTTCACTAAAACTGGATTAAATTGTATGGAACGTTACCTCGGAATTATGACGATTTATTGATGCTTGTCGGAGTGAGATAATTATTCTTTGGAGTGAAAAAATATTTAAGAACTTTCATTTCTCCCGAGGTACAACGAGGCGACGTCGTTGTTGTTAACAGTTTCGCGTCGACATTTTTTCAACGTCTTCCGTCGACCTGACCCTTTTGCACCCTTTGGGAATTTACAGGAAACTACCGAGTATATTTCCGACATCCACGAGGAAAACTTGAGTAATTCGGGACCAACCTCAGCGGCTCGGAGTCCTGGCCATCCCTGGGTTTGCTCTTCGGCTTGTTCGCCCTGGGACACCCGGAGAGACTTCGATGCGAGGAGTAGTTGCCGGTGACGTGGCCAGACCCATCGCACCCTGGTGTGGGACACTTCAGCTCCTGAGAGTGGGCCTGGATCTGGGAGCGATCCGCCCTTGGACACCCTGACAAGCTGTGAACCAAACGGGACGGGTCCGACTGTAAGAACGAGCGTCCAAAAAGTCCGCCATGACAGTCCTCTGCGGCTCTTCCAGGCGAGTCGTTCGTATCCGGAATTAGATTAATTATTAATAACCCCATTGTACCCTCTCCAGGATAATTTCGACGTTACAATAAGCGGGGAGAACTCGAGAATGGACATTGGCAACGGGTACACGGAAATTTGAAAATGGCGGAGCGACCTATTTCGAAGAACCTACCGAGCGTCCCGCGAGGAGAGGCGATGCAAACTGTCATGGCGCCGAGCAAGCACCTCGGGGGTGTCAAAATGGCACGTCAATATCTCGCATGCACCTGTTGCGACGTTGCCAGGGAATCGCAACGAGGTCCATTTATTGATAATAAACGGAGCCCTCTGCAAAGTCCCGCTCTTGTCCGCCCGCGGGCCTTTTTCCTCGGGGATCGCCGGCATTGAAATCACCGCGTCGGCGTCCCTTTAAACCCCGCCGCCCAAAACGCCGGCTGTGAACTCGAGTTGGAAATCATTCCCGGGCGTTCCGAAAGCGCAAACCGATCGTCTCCCGAGCTGGGATTAAAGCAATCGATACCAAATGCTCAAGGATCGATTCCCTCTGCGCGAAAAAAAGCCGGCGAACGAGGAAATGGACGAGGCCCTGGACTCCGGTCGAGACCAGCGATCGAGGCTTCGTTTTATAAAATGATAAAATTCCCTACGACAAGGACGATCGTTCTGGGGATCTCTACCGAGGTCCAGGAACCAATAGGCCAATTCTGTAGGACGTAGCTAATTAAATAGACAATGTTAAACTCTTTCTACGGAGTGACGGTAACGAGTGTCGGACGCGACGCATTGCGGGATCTTGCGATCGAAAATAGGAATGTTTACCGGAATTTTTAACGTAGAAATGGAGCGACACCTCGACGCGTCGACTGCTGGGATAGTTTAGAATTATTTAGATTAAATGGTTATGTAATAATTAGATGCAGAATTTCTGACAGTCGACGGGTCGAGGGGCTCCTTCTTAAGTGCCGTCCGGCGTTGAGGAGGAGGTCCGCCATCTTGAATTCGCGATCGATCTCCCTTTCCTTGGATTCCAGGCTCGGTCCCGGTTACAGAATAGGCCTACAGGCGAGTAAAGGAGGAACGAGTAGATAAACGAAGTGGCATGCAAGTGGCAACGCCGTGTTCCATTTGGATCCCTCGCGAGATGTCGCTCGTGCACTCCGAGACGAGACTCAGGAGCGAGAGAGGAAAGTTCCCGAACCGTTGCGGCCCGCAACGGTCCCGACTCTCCAAGAACACCGAAAGGGAGGAACGGGGAAGACACTCACACCTGACCCCAGTGAAACCCGCCGATTGCCAATTGACGCATTCTCGTTGGATCACCGAGACGCCGTCCAACCGGGGCGCCAGATTCAACACTCGAGGGATGAAGAAATCTCGATGCCGCCTTAATTTAAGGGGGTGCTAAAGTGATATCCGGGCCAATCGCGCAGGCTTTCTCCAAACTTAGCGTACCGAGTCGTTTGAAGCTTTGCAACGTGAACATAGAGGCTACGGGGATTTTCCTGAGGAAATATTAAAAACCTTCAGAAATTAATGACACTCGGGGAACTCCTTATGGCGTATTTATATCCACGCTGTAAGGATTGAAACGATTCGGCGCAGACCTCCGGCGATGCTTTCGTATCGCCTTAAGGATTGTCGCGATCCTTTCGATAGGAGCGTTTAGGTGTAATTGTATGAAATGAATTTCATATTCACGCTGTAAGGTTTGAAACGATTGGGCGCAGACCTTCGGCGATGCTTTTGTATCGCTTTAAGGATTGTCGCGACCCTTTCTATTGGAGCGTTTAGGTGTAATTGTATGAAATGAAACGTTAGGAGTCTTTTCATCTCGAGGGTCGAATCTGTGAACCTGGTTGGCCGGCCTCGCGAGTCGGGCTCGCCCCGGAGGGCGGAAAGTCGGGATATCGATAACGCAGAGGCGGACGCGAGGGCCACTCTTTTCGCCCCCCGTAGCTTTTCCGGAAGTCGTTAAGACGGTCTCTGTCCTGACATGGTCATCGCTCGGTGTCCGGTTCGCTACGAAGCTGCCCACTCGAGGCTGGCGAGGGCACCGTCGAGTTCGCGATATCTCTCTCTCGCGGTGCCCTTTTCCTAGGGGTCGGGTATCGGTAGGAGGGTCATTCAACATGGACTGATCTACACACCTGACACAATCGTAATAACGTAGGCGCGGGTCAGTGTAGAGACACAGAGGGACCAATAATAAAAGGGGACAAGGAGGCGCATGCGCACCGTGCGTAACAATGAATTTCTGCAAATTCGGGCCCCGATTCTTATGGAACGATAATTAACGTTCGGATGGGTATTGAGAAAGAGAGAGATATACACGGGGAAGGGCGACACTTATCGTTAGCACCTTGAGGAAAAAAGAAGATCCCTAGAACCAGAGAATAATACCTTCGAGACAAAGAATAACGTTTCGCATCGAGTTAACGCGAATGAGTCGTGACCATTCCGGAGGAAGGTCGGGCATAATTAATATTCGGCTTTCGGTCGAGTCGAGTAATTATTCTTTGAATTAGCTGTTATTGGCACCGATCAGGGATATATTTGCTCTGGCTCGGTGAATTTCTTTTTTCACCCCAGGACTCGGAGAAGTAGAGGAGGAGGGGTGCGTGCAGGGGTGCGTGCGTGCGTGTCCATGTCGATGTCGATCGTGTCGCAGTGCCTTGCCTTCTGTGGGTAGCGTAGTTCCCCGAGACATGACCCATGCCATCGCAGGAAGACGTGGGACACTGAATCAGCTCCTTGCCGTCGCGGCCACGAGGGGCGGGCCGGGCCACGAAATTCAAAGATTGCCGCCTCGCGTTCATACTGCACCGACACATCAATTATGAGATCTCGGAGCCCGAGTCTAGGGCCGATTATTGGCGACGAGCGCGAAAAGGACCTGCGGGTTTCCCTGATTTCGGATATGGCCGCGAAGCTCCTGGAGAGGAGAGGAAGGAAGTCGTAGAACCAGGAAGGACCTGACGTTAGAACCTCACCTAAGGACCTTGCGTTAGAACATTTCACGAGGACCTTATGTAAGGAATCTTTCGTAAGGACCTTGCGAAAGGACTTTGGAACGTTTCATGAGGACCTTATGTACGGAATCATTCGTAAGGACTTTAGATAAGGAATGTTTCAATTTGCGTAAGGATCTCGTGGAAAAACTGTAAGCGCCAACCTCAGGGCGGAATTGACGCGGTGCAACCGCCAGGTGCGGCCCTCGGGAGTCGGGGTGGCGGAGGAAGAGCGGGCGAAGGAGCGGAGAGCACTCGGGTGGGATCGGCTGGAGTGTTCCGCCTTCTCGTAGGTGTACCAGGAGCACGGCTATGAGGAACCTCGATGGCCCTTGAGTGGCCACGATATTGCTGGGAATCCTGCGCCGGGTCTGGCCGGGTCTGGCCGGGTCCGGCCGGGTCGGGCCGGGTCGGGTCGAGACTTGAGTGCAATCACGCCGCCAGCGCGTAGGCACGCGGCTATAGACCGCGTTTACGGCCGTCTAACCACTTCTACCTCCCAACCTCTCGGAACTCTCGACTTTTCCGACCGGCCGAATTCGTACTCCGACCCCCGTCCCGTCGAGACCGGGAGTTAAGACAAGGACCAATATGGCCCCCATAAGAGAACGCCATACACCGGACAAAACCCGAGCTCGAGAACCTTTTCCAAAGCGAGTCCCATTTCGGCTAAACATTCGTGACGTTTTCGGATCAACATTTGTGACGTTTTCGGCTCAACATTCGTGACGTTTTCGGATCAACATTCGTGACGTTTTCGGATCAACATTCGTGACGTTTTCGGATCAACATTTGTGACGTTTTCGGCTCAACATTTAAGACATTTCCTGCAAAACGTCCGACGCGTTTCGACGGCGACCCGGCGCGATCGGGAGGAGGCTCGAAATTTTCGAGAGGTTAAGGCAGGCGCGCAAGGGAGCGTGGCAGTTTCCCAGAGGCCTCGCCGAGGTGTTCCGGGTTCTAACCCCGGCGGGACGGGTCTCGCCCCATAATCCAGTGCGGTGGCAACTGATTATATCCCAACCTCCTCTAACCTTATCCTCCCTCGGCAATCCGCCCCGCTTCGCCTCCGCCTGCACCGCCGAGCTTTACGTCAATTAGAATAAGGTTGGCACTTTCGCTACGAAGAGTAATTACTTTAATTAACAAAATGGAGGCGGGCGAGCGCTCTCTCGCCGCCTCCGTCGAAGCGGCCTCCGATCCGCGATCGTCCTCCCCCGTAGGGGGAGGCCAGCCTCTCGCGTTCTATGGGAACTTGGCCAATTACGCGGAAACGCCCTTAAGGGTTTGCGGAATTTCCTTTTTTTTTTTCTTTGCGGAGAGCCCGCGCACTCGCACCTGCCTGGGGAACGGATACGGTGGGGGGCGTACCTGTCGTCCTTGCTCGACGGCTTGTCCAGGGTGCCGATGGTGTGTTGAGGGGGCGGCATGCTGTAGCACGGCGCCGGGGTGTATCCTGCGGGGATTTGGTACCCGGAGGTGACGGGGCCCCCGGGGTAAGTCGCCCCGCAGTTGTAGCCCGCGGTCGGATATGGGGTGTACGTGTTGGCCGGGTATTCCGCCTGGACGCCCGCCATCCCATACCCAGGGTGAGGGCTCATGGGGCCGTAACCTGTGGACAGAGGCGATGTGCTCTACGGTCGCTCCTTCCCATGGAACGACTCTTTAACGTGGAACCCTTTAACGCGACTTGTCAACCTCGGGGTCGAACTCCTACCCCGAGAAAAAGAAAAAAAAATTCAACCACCCAAAGAAATATTTTATTCATTCCAAGGATAATTCTTTCACTTGGACCAACTCAAACTGCCCCTCATACCGAGGAAGCGCTGTGTCCAATTTATTTCAGTTCCATGCTACTCTCGTTTTCGCCGACCTGGACGAGTTCCTCGCTACCCTGGGCGATTCGGCTCGGAATAAGTCGAGCCGGGGGCGACCGCCCCCGGCCCCACTTCGGTCGGGGTCGACCGCGGCGGCGCGTCGGCGATGTATTCGAATGTTTCAATTTCAATAACTACTCCCCGGCGTCGACGGGGGACAATACCGGCGTACTGCGACTGCGGAACTTTTGCCTCGTGTACGCGAAATATTGATAATTAACAATGGCGCCGTCCCGCACGGGACGCGTCGGGCGGACAATCGGAGGGACGAGGAAGGAGAGACCCCCCGGAAGAAGGGAGGGAGAGAGACAGAGAGAGGGTGCGGAGCAAGGGGAGCCAAAGAGACGCGGTTGACCGTCTACAGATATTACATCCACTGGGTGGAAACGGGAGAGAAGATCCTATTTAACCGCCCCTAAATTAACGTTCACTAATCTTCCTTGGTTATCAAAATTATCAACGAGGTAAATTCATGACATTTCTTTGAACCACCCCCAAGTGACGTTTACCAATATTTGTCAATTTTTAAAACGACTTATGGGGAAAATTCAACATTTCTTTCAAGCATCCCCAAATTCACGTATACCAATTTTCATGCAATGGGGTGAATTCCAGGTTTACATTTGCTTCAGGGGGAAATTTTAATTCTCGCCTCTTCTTTCATTTTTTTTTTCAGGTTGTAAAATCGGAAGCGAGGTTATTCCTCGGAATGTTATTTTTTTTTTCAATGAACCTAGGGGCGAGTATCAAGGCAGAGGGTCGAACGAGAGGGGTGGAGGGATAGGTGGGAGATGGATATAGGTGGGCAGATAGGTAGGTGCCTATTACGGGGGTCGTGTCCCGTTCGGGTGAATTTTTATTCGGGGGTTGTAACCGAGCCTGGCCCCCGGGGCATCGAGCTCTTTGTTCTATTTCACCCCCGGCTCTTGGCCGCCCTCTCTCTCGCTCTCGCTCGCGGTCGCCGTTCTCCCTCTTCCTCTCTTGGCACATCGCGGGAAGCGTGTTACGTTTCGCCGGCGCTAAAACGTCAACCTGCCGATGTATGGACGGGTTTTCATTTTCGGCCGGTGTCTCGTCAAATTGATCACGCGAAAGACCCCAAAACTCGACGCGAAACCACCCAGGAGACCCGCGGGAATCTGAACTCCCCGGAAATTTAAGGTGGTGCGGAAGTGGGGACGCAGAGCTCTCGTTTATGAAATTTTCCTCCAAACTGGGTGTACCGAATTATTTCAAACCTTACACCATGAACACATAGACTGTAAGGAAGGTCCTGACGCCTTTGAAATTTTAATTTTTAGAAAATTTCCTTATAGGTGTTTTCAACATTTTTTAATAACAAATGAAATTTCCCGAGTTCCGGGACCTTCTTTATGTTCTCCGTATCCACGTTGCAAAGTTTCAACCGATTCGGTGCACCCATCTCGGAGAAAAGCTTCATAAGGGAGGTTTGTTTGACGCCACTTGCCCATCGCCTTAACCCTTTACTAGTAAAATGAAGGGAATAAATCTGATAAAATTGCAAAAAGTAGGGTTAATAAATAAAGATAGAAGTAGATGTCTCAAGGTATCCCCCGGCGTTGTCCGCTCTCCATAAACCCCATAACCCGGGGAGTTACGAGACCCGCGGCTCGGGCCTCCAGGGTGGCAGGGGAAGAGGTCGCGAGTCGGCAGCCTACAGATCATCGTAATCGTCGTTCCAAAGGCAAGGGCTTTCTATCGTGGCCATATCTCACCGGTGGGATCTCGGTAGGCGTCCATATAGTGGGAGCCCCCGCTGTCGGGGGTGCTCTCGCGACTGTACGCCGCGGCGTGCACCCCAGGAGGCGGGAACCCTGGGACGGGCCTGATGCCAGGACCTCCGCTGAAGTTGACCGGTTCGTTCGCCGTGGAGAAGTCGACGGGTTCCGTCTGTTCCTCGATGGGCCTGGGGGCAGAGAACCCTGGACCGACCGGGACGGCCACCGCAACGGCCTCTCCGTGGCCGCCCGAGTACTGAGGGCTGGGGGCTCCACTGCAACGAGAGCAGAAAAAAAGAAAAAAAAAAACAAACCTCGTTAATCCTATAGAAATAGATATTAGATAAAAGCAGAAATTGCTTGATAACAGGTTTCAAGCAAAATTAGCACACTGATAACAATCCGCGGGAATTTGCATAGGATTTTATGCACCTCGTGACCGAAGTTTCGCGTATATAAAAAATTGTTAAATGGAAGAATTATATATTGGAGATTGTGTAAATGCAGATATTGGGGCGGGTGTAATTTAATTCAAGGTGATATCACGGTGTAGTTCCGATTAACTCGGATGCCGAGGGCGATATCACTGAGACAGGGTAATTTTCCTGCAATTTATTGGGGTGTCGTGTGATAACTCACCTGTGGAGCCTGTTGACGCTGAGGTCCAAGGTCTGGCCCTGCGGACTGGGAACCTGGGGACTGGCCGTGAGATGCGGACTGGCCGCAGCTTGAGGACTACCACCGACGGTCTGCCCTCCACCGTACTGAGGACTAAGACTGTTGGAGCCATACGGTGGTGCCTGGTGCCGGCGAAAAACAAAGGGAACCTGTTATCTGGGAATCCATCACTTTAGAGCGACCCCTACGTCCTTACGGGTCTCACCTGTGGACTGGTGGACGTCACGCTGGACGTGGACAGGTCCATGACGGACCCCCCTGGGGAGGTCGGCGGGCCCCCTGGTTTCTGCATCTGCTGCACCTGGGCCACCGTGACGCATTTCACTGCAACGGGGAGAGAAGGCGTTCAAATGATGGTACCGCAAGATCATCGGTTCCAGATGACGTTATCAAGGTGGAGAAAGCGGAATAAGTACCATCCTCCGACTTCATCATCCCGGCAGCGGAGGCGGCGGCCATGGCCATCTGATGCTGCTGGGCAGCAGCGGCCGCAGCGGCGGCAGCGGCGGCCTCCTGGTGATAGACCCTCTCCTGCTCCTCGGGGGTCATCCCTGCCTGGCCCAGGTAGTACATGTTGGCCCTGGAGTGCAGCTGCTGCTGCGTCTGGGGCTGCAATGGGGTGCAGGGCTGGGCGTCGTACCTATCATAGGCGGCAGCGGTGCCAGGGTCGTAAGGTCGGTGGTTGGTGGCGCTGACCACGGCGCTCTCGTACCCCCTGGTGGCGGCGATCTCGTTGGAGTAGGTGACTACGGGTCTGGCGATGTTGGCAGCGGCAGGGTGCATGTACGCCCTGGCATGTTCGCTGGATCTGTGGTGGTAGAGGTCCTCGGCGGAGGTGTTGGTCGTGGTGGCGGCCGCGACGGCGGCAGAGGTGGCGGCGATGGCCGCGGCCGCCATCATCGCCGAGGACTCGTAGGGCGACCTCTGGGGCATCTGGTGGGACATCCTGGTGTCCTCCACCATGGGCATGGGGTAGGCCACCGTGGGCTGCATGGGCAGGACGTGGTGCGCCGGGTGCTGGCTCGGGTGGTGGATGGAACCCCCTATGGACCTGGACCCCATCGTGTCCAGGGAGGACACCGACGAGGAGTTCGAGTCCTGGTTCAAGTACGAGTCGTAGGTCTGTCTGATCGACGAGGGTGGTGGCGGGGGTGGCGGGGAATTCACGCGGCAAGAAGAGGCGTCTTCCGACTTGGGGACCAACAACTCGGAGGATTGACTCCTGCCGGGTAGGGAGGTGCAGCAGGTGCCCCCTGTTCCTGGATTCCCTGCGGACGTCGCGGCAGGCTCGGCCTTCGGGACCAATTTACTTCCTCTTGGACTCTCTTCGGAGGTCTTCTGCGGCTTCGAAGCGATCGCTGCGGCCGCTTTCGTCGCCGCGTAGTAGTCGTACGACGGCGATGCCACTGGTTTCGCCTCTTGGCTACTGTACTGAGGGTACACCTTGGACTCCATCGAAGACGGGAGGAGACTCGTGCTGATGTACTCCGGCGGGATGCCCGACACTATCGAAAAGACCGGCGGATGCTGATCAGACCCCCGATATCTACATACTAACCGGATAGCCGATACCCCACAAAAGACGATTCGAGGCGACCCCCGCGTCCCTAGTTACGGGCGTGTCAACTAACGTCGCGGCACTCGCGCATCTGTCAAAACCACGTGTCCTTAAACTCCCGACACGAGGTGTCAAATTAATTTCCCGGAAGAAGGTAATCGTCATTTCAATTGTAATTGAACAAGCTGGGGTGCCTTGAAGCCCTCTGCAGAGAATAAATAGCCATCAGCTGTCCAGTTGGTATATAGATCAGTGGCCAGACCCTACTTCCGCACTCCGTGGGGGCGAACGCATGCGAGTCGCTTGCATCACGGGACTCCTAGTTGTCTCCTGGCGGGTCCAGGACCCTCCTAACCCCCCATGAGCCTTTTTGGGGACCCGGAAGTGGGCCTTACCTTGCGCCTTGTGACGGGCCTCGCGGGCGGCCTGCTTATTGGCCGCTGCGATGGGGCATCCGGACAAACTCCTGTGAGTGTTGCGATTGGAGCTGACATGGCCGCGGCCGTTGCAACCAGGCGTCGGGCATTTCAAAATAGTCTCATGCATCGCCAGAACTGCGAGAACCCAGACGGACGAGGTTACAGACACGTCGACACACACGCGCACACGTACACAGCGCGGAATCGCGAGGACCTGTCGAACGGCGACGGCGGGATCTGCGGCCGAGACGCGGACGTTCACATAAACGGCCGACTCGAAGACGAGGACGCGGATCGAGGCGGGTAGAGAGAACACAAGGAGAGAGAGAGAGAGAGAGAGAGAAAAATCAAAAGACAGAGTCTCGAGACCTTCCGCGGGAGACCGCGAGATCCCCGCGACCGCGGGAGCCGAGGGTCGTCGCCGAGGGAGGCGAGGACCCCGAAGACGACCTCCCACCCAGCTCCACCGGGTCGGTTCCCGTGGGACGAGCCGGCACTCCCCTGGTACACGCAGAAACACTCGACACATCGAAACAAACCTCGATGTTAACCTACATGAGACTTTTTTTCTGCATGTACCCTAAAAGACGACAGAACGTAAAGGGTCGGGTCATTTCCGGATTTTCCTACATTTTCCTCCGGTGACGTGTCCCCCGTGAAAGTGTACCCTAAGTCCCGGGTCCATGGCCGATTGATAAGAGAATGGGTTCGATCGGCCCTTTAATGATATCAGTGTTGGAGTCGCCTAACCGCGCCGATCCGTCGCCGGGGTGCGGCCTTTCCGTGCCGGGAACCGGAAATCGTCGCCTCGTGTGTCCTCCCTTCCTTCCGCGGTTCCGACGTGTGCGCATGCCGGGTCTCCGCCCGTCGGGGTCTCTAGTTCTCTCGCCCCGGCCGAGTCAGGTGTGGGCGAAAAGTGGCTACTAACGGACTACGGAAACTTAAGGTGGAACCAAGAGAAATAAAGCTCTCTACCCCGCAAACCAAAAAGCACAGAGGTGAAAAGGGAGACCCTCGCTCCGCGACGTGCACCGGCCTCGACCGGAAGCTACCATGAAGATATCGGCGGTCTACCAGACGGAAAACGCCCTCGCCACAGCCTCCCGTCCCCTTCCGTCTCCCCGCTTCCGGTCCCACCGGCGGGACCGGAAGTGGCGTTTATTTCACATCAGGAGCCGTCACTGGCAGACCTTAGGACGACAGGTGCGGAGCCGGTGACGAGGACGCGGCGAGCGCGCGAGGACGAGGAAACGCGACGGAATTCCCGTCTGACGGTCTGCGGCGATTCTCTCGCAGGGATTTCCAACCACCCCGAGAAAAAAAAAAAAATTTCCCATTTAACCATTGAACGGTAACAAGCAAATGTATACTTCCTTTTAATACAAAGTATAATTTATTTACTGGAATGAACATTTGCATTTATCTTTTCTCTTTTTTTTAGTTTCCTCCGTTTCCTCGCGATCGCCGACTCGCTTCGCGGTAAAAAATAGGCAACTCTACGGTGTAAGAAGATCGATGGGTGGCGATACTCACTCTCTGGTGTCAGCTTATCCTTCCGTGGGCACCCTGATAGGCTGTGGACAGAAAGAGAGAGGGATGGCTCAGGTGAGAGGTACCCTGCAGGGGGCATCTCGAAAGTACCACCCAACCCTGGGGTGGAAAATCGGGATCGCGTTCCGATCGGTACCCAGCCTCGATGGAGATTAATTCCGGTGCCGGGTGCAATGCAGGGGATCGGAGATAATCTCCGTCGAGCTGGTAGATGGGCACACAATTGTCGATAATTGCTCACCTGCGGTGGTGCGAGTACAGTCCGGTCACGTGACCCTGCCCGGAGCAACCAGGAGTCGGGCACTTGTTGCCTTCTGCAACAAATCAAAGCGCAATCCTCGAGGTTAGTCCCGACCTTCCCTAACTGGATCGCCTTGCCATAGGTACAGGTGCGAGACAGGTGGAGGTCTTTGATATAGATACCAGGGTATCGATAAACCGTGGGGAGATATCGATACACCATAAAGGTGGGTCGCGAGGTCGAACTAACCCCACAGGGTAATTTTCACATCGAAGGGAGGTACCACCCCCCTTAAGGTGATACGAAAGGGTCATTCTATATATGAAACGTGAAAATATTGATAAGACTTTGCATTAATCGGGATGCACCGAATCATTTGAAACCACAGCACGTGATTATGGAGGTCCTGAGAAAAAACCTGGTCTTCGTGAAATGTCACTTAAAAAAAATATATATATCGATTCTTGGTTCTAGTCAGGGTTAAATAGGAAAGTTCGGCATGAAGAAATGAAATTTCATGAGCACCGGGTTTTTCCTTAGGGCTTTCGCAATCACGTGTTAATGTTTCCAGTGATAAGGTGTACTCAGCTTGGGGATAAGTTTTATCCATATTTTTATGTTATGTGTAGAATAACCAAGTCTTGGTGCGGCGGGGGAGATTTTTTATACCCTGAACCGTCGATCGCGAGGTCGGAGGTCCTCGGAGGAGGTCGAAATCCCAAGGCGTTCGATCCGGGCAAATAATTCCGGCGATTAAGCCCGAATTAAGACCGGCCTGTACGTGATCGGCGATCGACCCCTCTGGGGTGGACTCGCGTAGGTAAGTCCGTCACGTGTTAAAGGACGAGGAGGCCTGCCAGGAGGGCTTTCGGACGGTCCCGCACTTTTCGAAACTTCGTCGCGAGCTAATCCCCATGATCCCGGCCTCGGTGGCGAAACTTCATCACGCCGTCATTTCGCGTCTCCGGGAGGATATCCGATCCTCGATCCCCGCGCTTATACGCCCCCCTCTTCTGATCCTGGACCAGAAATTGGATCGCGACACGTGACGTCATTAGCGGCATGCTTTATTTAGAGCGCGGTCCCGCGATCGGAGGTCCTGGGGCAAGATGGGAGGTCCTGGTCCAGGATGAGAGGCCGGCAATCGGTCCCCTTCCAGGAGGTCCTTCCACCTCTTAGGAACTCTTTGTTGGACTCCTCGATGACCCGGTCGAGGGCCTCGTCCTCGGTGTCTCTTAACGATCCGCCTATTCTCCGCAAACCACTCTTCGGCTTCTCAAAACGGGCACGGAGAAGGTAATGGGTTCGGTCAACAAAACGCAGAAGCGTTCTCGTGCCGGTCCCTTGAATGGAGTTGTAACGAGCCGGACGTTTCTTCCTTTTTCCAGGGTCGAGGGGAACGGAGGGAGTCGGACATTCCCGTAGAAGAGGAGAGGGTCGAACCGATCGCGCCACTTCTCTTCGGGGTCACCGGGGGGAACATCTCGAGTACAGGTATTTATAAAAAAAATTAATCGACTCCTGGGGAGAATGAAAAAAAATTCACCGCGCATAATTAGAGGGGAAATTGTGAAAATTAGTAACGGTGGGAAATATATGTAGAGGAGGGACGCGAAGGTGAGAGGCAGGTGATAACGAGGAGGCTGAGGTGTTCCTCCGCGTGTAAGAGGGTGATCGGGATACTCTTCCAGGTCCTGGTCCTGGAAAGGGTCCGGGAAAGGGTCGAGGGTCGCCGTCCTGGACCTTTATACGAGCCCGCGCGGAAAGCGGCGTAAAATTGAGTTACAGGGTAGTTTATTTTTTTATTAGCGCCGATTCGCTCCCGGTGACGGCCGCGCTGGGGTGGGTTTTGCGGCCGGCGGATTTTCCGATAGCGGCTTTATAGCGTGTCAACACGCTCCTCCGAAGGGCCGCACGCGATCGCCAGCCATCGTAGCTGCCGCACAAAATCAAACGATACCTCCTACTCCACCCTACTGCCCTCCACCCTTTTCCCGTAACCCGATGCCCACGAGATGAGCTTCATTTCCGGAGGAACGACATCTCCTCGTTCTTCCACTATCGGGAGCACCCCCAAAAAGATAGGGTAAGGGTTCAGATGACCATCACACTTGAACTCCTCCCTATTGAATTTAATCATAAGAATTGTATTGCAGAATTTAATTACAAAAATTAGCCGGAAGAAATTCAAGAGCCACGTGGTCAAGATCTCGAAGCCACTAGAGGATCGCTTTGACTCGAGCATTTTCCCCATTTCGGGCAGCGGGATTGAATTTTTCAAACATCCCCCTCTGCAGGAAACGTTAAGGGGATAATGAGGAAAGACGAGGGACGTTGGGCGCGCCGCTAATAAGGTAGATCAGCGGCGGAAGGGATGCTAGTCACGTTTCCACCGGCTGTCAGCTGCGGCTTATACGTATGACGTGGTATCAACCCCAAATTTCCCCTAGCCAGACACGGCGTGTCACCGCGGCCCTAAGATCGCGAAATGCAATCGAGACTCCGACTGTCACTCGGGACTTTAAGGGATCCTCTCCCCCCTGTTTTTTCTTCCCCCAGCCGTCCACTCCCCGTCTCGTAATCGTCGGTTTATCGACCATCGAATATCGCCAGAAATGGGTCCGATATTTTTTTTCCCCCGCTTAAAATCTGGAGTAAAAACCTGGACGTCACCATTTGAGTGATCACCCCTCGTCCTGTAATTACTGAATTTTCCGCGTGTCCTAAAATCGTCGCGAGACTTTTTTTTTCTTTTTAATTCCCTGATCGAAGTTACGGATCGATCGGCCGCGAGAACTGGAGTAAAAAGTGGGAAGCTCTCCTCGCGATCGTTTGGTTCTAGTTCAGGTGTATCGAACTCCCAGAACGCGGAGTAACGTTCGGTGATAAGGACAGCGGGACAAGGACACCCCGATGACTCAGTATAAGTCACGATGGTCCGGAGGAACGGAACGGTTATTGCCGGAGAAGACTTGGAAATAACTCCGGGGTAGAGACCTTGATTTCACCATTTGAGTCATCACCCCTCGGTTCGTAATTATTGATTTTCCGCGCTGTCCTAACTCCCCTAACTTTATAGAGGGTGAGATCGGCCGGGAGAGAGCGAGACGCTGCCGCGCGGGCGAGGAAGACGGAGACACGTTGACGGAAAGGGGGAAACTCAAAGAGGGATGTAGGAGGGACCGAAACGCGTTTTGTCCGCCAGGGGTGGTGGCAAACGAAGAGTCGGACATTCGACAGGTGCAATTGGATCCGGCGAAGCGATAAAGCGGAAAGAATCGAAGAAGTCCACGAACGGCATGAAAATCATGAGAACCATGAAAACCATGGAAACCATGAAGTTTTCGAGAGGCTCACCTCTGCCCAGGCTGGAGGGGGACATGGACATGCCGGGTCTGTCGGCATCGAAGGTCCTGTCGGATAGCTTCAAAACCGCGTCCTGCTGTCCATTGGTGGCGGTGGTGGTAGAGACATCGCCAACGGCAACGGGGCTGGTGGAGGCGATGGTGGTGGTAGCGGCCGGGGTGACGCTGGTAGCGGTGGCCGTGGTCATGGTCATGGGGGTGCCGGTAGTACCGGCGGGTCCAGGGTTAGCATTGGTCCCGGGGTTGTTATTCCTGGGCGGGTTGGAGGCCCCAGGAGGACCGGGATCGGTCTTCCCAGCAGTGGTCTGGCCAGTAGCGGAGGTGGTCCCTATCGCGCCGCTGCTGCTGCTGCTGACGGCGGCGACGCTGACGACGCCCTCCCTGGCGATGTCCTGGATGGCGCTGGCGGCCCTGGAGCCGATGCCCGCAGGCTGCAGGATGGTGTACTGCTTGGAGGACGTGGCGTCGGGGCTGGCGACGGAGGGAATGCCAGTAGGTGGGGTCTTTGCAGCGGAAGTGGGGTTGGGGGTCTCCCTGGGTACCTGGATCTCTTCCTTGGGGGACTTGAGCGGCAGCAGGGAGATGGTGGAGACGTGCTTGTCTTCTGGGGATGGAGGGATACCAGGGACGGGCTGGGGCGCGGGCATGGTGGGACCTGGACCCGGGGTCGGGAAGCCCACGAAGGTCGCCGCGGCGGGGTAGGGCCCCATGGGGGGTATGGGGCCGGAAGTGGCTCCGGTGGGTCGACAGGTGGCCTTGGAGTGGTCGGAGCCTCCCGGTGGGCGGAAGGCCGAGGCTGTGGAGAACGGTGAGCCCACGGTGGAGGTCGTAGAGGGGGAACCGGATGACTTCGGGGCCCCCTCCGAGTACTGCCTCTGGTAGCTGGAGTACAGGTGCGCTTGGTGGTGGTGGTGGTGATGCGGTGGGTGGTGGTGCTGCTGCTGCCTCCCTTGGGGGGAGGAGCCCTTGGAGCTTCTTTCCCTGTCCCTTCCGTCGGGCCTGTCTCGGTCACCCTCCTCCTTGTCGGCGGTGGGGTCCGACATGTCGATCTCCAGCTCGTTGGACGAGTCGTCCACCAGCTCGTTGAAGTCCGGCGGGTCGTAGCGGGAGTACTTCTCGGAGGAGCGGTTCTGATGGTCGCCGACGACCACCCGGTCAACCCTGTCCTTCCCCAATGATCTTCCCGGACCCCCTGGTCGCATCTTGCCCGACTCACCCTGGAGTGGCCCGCAGTCGTCGGTTTTCAATTGCGCGTCCAGGTCCTTCTTGGTCTTGCTCGAGTGCAGCTGCAGCTGCTGCAACTGCTGCGTCCTGAGGCGGTCCTGTTGGCCCCGGAGGGTGATGACGTCCTTTAGGGAGCACCCCGCCTCGGTGCTGGCCGTCGACGAGCTGGACACCGAGGATGGCGACAGCTTCGGACTCTCCTTCTTCTCCTCGAAGAGGTTCTCGAAGTTTGACTCGTACTTGTCCTCGTCCGAGCTGCCCCTCTGGTAGAACGACCCCCTGGGGCCCGGCCAGCTCCCGGAAAGGCTCTTCAGTGCCGCCTCCGTCTCCCTTATCAGCGTCTCGTCGTCCTCCGGGTCATCGCAGTTCTTGCTCGACTTCCTCGCCGGGCTACCCGAGTTCCCCGAGGCGAAGACCCTCTTCTTCTGAGGCAGCGACATGTTCTTCGTCGGGTCCAGCTCCATCGACTTCCGGATGTCATCCTCCCGGAAGTTTTTCCGGCGCCTCTTTGCCGCGGCGTCAGCCGTCTCCATCTCCTGGGGGATGCCCTGGGGGATACCTTGCGCCTTCTTGCTCCCGCTCAGTGCAGGCTGCTGGGGCTGTTGCTGCTGCTTCGGCTTCTGCAGACTCGCTTCCGCCTCGAGCTTCCGCTTTTTGAGATGCGCCATCGCATTCTGCCCCCCGGGCACGCTGGTCAGTTCGACCCTGGAACACAAAAATCCCAGAGTCAGCAACCCCTTCCGGACCAGGCGCCCTCCTTCGGCCCTCTTCGGGGTTACCGAAACTACCTGAGAGCGTCTCGACGGCTGATCGCCTCTCCTCGTATCATCGATCACTCGACGTTCTATCGCGATACCGGGGAGACTTCGGCCTCCTCTTCGAGGTCCTGCGGACCCTCGGAGGACCCTAGAGACCCGGACGCACGAGTGCACTATCGGCCGAGGCGGTTTACGAGAATTCACTCATGGGGTGGCCCTTCGTCGCCCTTCTTGGTCCCGGTGCTCTTCTCCGGGTCGACTCGGCCAGGCTCCGGTTATTGGGTCGGAGTCCGACCTGCACGATCGGAATCGATGGGCGGGGGACGGGCCGAGGGGGTGGGAACGGGTGGAACGGAAACGCTGCGGAAGGTGGAGGGGTGGAATCGCGCTCGCGCACCAACGACCCGCGAATTCGCGCCCAGGGTGGACATATATCTGCCCTCCCGGCCTCCACGAGGGACAGGGTGTCCTTCTCGAAGGGGTGCTCGCGAGCTACTGTGCTATGTCTACCTAACCCCGAGTTGGGGTAGTCGGGGGTATGGCGAACCCCACTGGAGGGGTGCCACGCTTGCGCGAGCGTCGCGATTCTGCTTCGCCACGGAAAGGTGGGGGCGGGTTCTGTACACTGTCCACCCCCGCCGGTGCACGACTCCTGGCTACGCCAACCCCTCTACTCGCCCACCCCACCCCCTGGCGGAGGTCCGGGCTCTCCGGCCAAGGAAGGCGGCAGCCCTGGGTGCGCACCCCCCAGCCCTGCGACGGTTTCGCTCCCTTATTCTTCCTGGGGAAATTGAAAATGTACTTGGCGCCCGACTCTACCGAGCTTTCGACTCGTCCTCGACCTCTGTCCATGGAAATACGTGCGTGGCCCTGCACGCGCACCTGTGACGGTTTACTCCCTTATTCTTCCAGGGGAGGCATCGAGCACGTACTTGGCGCCGGACTCTACCGATCTCTATTCCCCCAGCTTTCCTGAAACTTCAAACTTGGATCCAGCAAAACGAGCCTGCATTTGTAAATGATTCCGATGATCGCCCTCGCATCGTCTCATCTTATCGAATCTCGTCTAATTTGGATTCTTTTTTTTTTTTTCTTTTTTGAGGTTACTTTTAGAGATACTAGCTAAATCCACCCCATATCGGGAACGTCGCCGAATCGCGGCCCTCGAGATATATATCCAAGGACCTTTTTCGTTGCGCCGGACAACTATAAGAAATTAATCGAGATATCGAGTCTGGAAGCGACGGAGTCCTTATTAATCGATCTTTATAGAGATCACGGGGGCGTATCGCGAGGATCGGTCCCGGCAGAGGAAGGGCGCAGTGGGTAATTGATGAAACGACCTTCGCATCGACAGCTCCGGTGTCAAATTAATGGCCTTCCACCCCATAATACTCGATTCCGCCGTCCCGCGGAACTCGACACCGTTTTCAACCCTCGGCGGACCTAGAGCCTTCCGGATTGTCCGCATTTGCCGTTGCGGCGGATCAACGTTATCCGCAAGAGGCGGAAAAAAAGGAATCAAGGTGTCAAAGGATCACGATCCCCGTCCAGGATTTTCAATTCCACCTTTCCTGAGATTTAGAAAGAAAAAAAATCCTTTCCTTGAAATTTTCAAAATATTCCCAAGCCGCAGTATGGGAATATTTTACGCCCCTCCACGTTTCGCCCCGCGTTGGATTTTGCGAGTCCTGGAAGCGAGGTGTCCTCGGAAATTCTGAAAATTCCCTAGGAACGTCCTAGGGTCCCGAGGCGCTCCTCCGGCCTGGTCGGCTAATTCCACTAGGGTATTTTTGCGCGCCTAGTTTCCGTCGTTAAACCGGCTACTCGGGGGTCGGTGTTTGGGGTCGTTAGCGGCATTCGGTAGGGCTGAAGTTCACCCTCGGCCGGCAGGAGCCTCGTAAGTGGCGGTAGCCCCGATAGGAGTCGACAACTCGAATTAGATAAACCAAGCAGGCTTCGAGTCCTGGAGGAGAAGAGGGATCAGCGTCAGCGCTTAGAGCCGCGCTCGGAGGGATCTCTGGGAGAGCCTTCCCTTAAACCTTAAACCTTAAACCTTAAACCTTAAACCTTAAACCTTAAACCTCCTCAGACCACGGAGCCGGGAGTTTCGAGCAGCGAACTGGGGTGGTCGGAGGAGGGCGTCAAAATCGAAAGTTAAATCGCAGGCCAGCGGTTCGAGCTCAGGGTGTTATCAGCTCCTCTTCGCGGGGGGTCCGCGACTCTGAAGAAATCCGTGAAAATTCCAGCATCTACTGATCGTCCCAACGAATCCAGGACACGAGAAGTCCGAGCCTCCCTCTTCCAGGATTTATTCTTAGCGATTTTCGGGCTGACTAAGGGGGTGGATCGGCGATCGTCGTTAGGGGTTAACGCCGGCGACCGCGGTCCTCGGCGTTAACGCCGATATTTCGGGCGGTACCCTTCGCAGAAATCCCCCGGCTTAACCGCTAAGAGCTGTGATCCGCCGGCGGTTTATCTAATTGGAATTGTCGACCGCTCGAAGATTCGAAGGGAAGGCCAGGGCCGAGGGTGCCGAAGCGGAGGGAATAACTTCGGGCTATCTCGCGGAGCACGCAGCGTCGGAGGAGCCTCTTTAGACTTTAGTGACGTGACGTCGCGTCTAATGCTCTAATCCCCAGGGTGGAGGCGCCTTCGGGTCGCTCCTCCGGGAACATAGCCCGGAGAAGCGGTAGCTAATTACTCCCCTCTTCGATTTTTAGAACTCGAGTCGAATTAATCCGACCGAGCTGTCCTTTTCTTAACCCTTCATCGGCCGTTATCACCTACGCGTGGATACAGTGGATGTCCTGTCAGGGTCCAGCTTGCGCCCTGGTGCCGAAAATCCTGCACTCGACGGAGTCGAACCTAGAGGGTGCGAAGGAGCTCGTACGTCTTTTTCTCGCCGAGAGAGGGTGGAGTGAAATAATTTAGGGGGTGCTTCGCTGCTGGATAATGGGACTCGGCTAATGTACTTCCCCTGGAGAGACATCCTGGACGATTCCGACGATCCGTCCACGTCGTGATTCACCGGGTGGACACTCGACCCCTTGTTCATCTTGGACCTGCTTTACGTATTCCCCGTCCGGGCGCTTGGAATCGGTCTTCGTTCGGGCGAGGAAGATGGAGAATTGGCCCTGGAGGGAGGGATCTCGATCTGCTGGACCAGGCGTTATTATTAGCCGTCGCCAATTTCGGGACAAGCTTGCTCCAACTGCCTGGAAAATATGGCAGGACGGGAAAGGCGGAATTAGCGAGATCGTCCCCGGATGCGCATTTCCGCATCGTTAAGGGCCAACGTTCCCTGCCCGATCTCGGGGCCAATCCAATTTGTTAAGTAAAGCACGCGGGATTTATTTAATTCATCCCAGTCTGTCGCGAGCGGAGTGGAACGTCGGGGAGGTCCTTGGATAAAATCCTTCCTTCGTCCTCAGGGTCGGGAATATTCCCAGAAGAGACCTCCTCCTTGGTCCGGCCCGGAACCGTCCGGCTGCCGGACGATGTCTTAAACCAATCGAATTCCAATAAAATATTTAACGCGACTCGGGGGAGGATCCTTTAAGTGGCTCTGCTGCGTCCGAACCCCCGAAGAAGCTTCTTATGTCGCGATCACATATTTAAGTGGCTCTCCGGGTCCCCTTGGAGACACTCGCCCGTTTTTTACGGTCTGCTCTCGGGAATCCAACGTCGAGTGTCCAGTTTTCACTTTTTTTTTCGGACCGAATTTCGGACTTGGTCCTAATCGAATTGCACTTTATCGATAAAATTGCCTTCTGTTGGGATCGAAACCAAGATGCATTCTTAATTTTTCAATCGATAAGATTTTTTAATCAGCCTGATAAAAATACCCATGTCATTTTACGAAGTCATAGGTATGTAGGAATGTAGGCGAATTCCCATTGATTTTTATCAGTGCAATCAGATTTTCCATCGACCATGCTTTTCATCGATTATATTTTTCGATCGATCCACCAGATTACAGGTCGTAATTATTTTTGCACTCCCAGGCACCAGCAAGTCCATATAAGGTCGCCACCAGCCCGAAGAAACTTAGGAGCCCCTCGAAGTCGCGACATCCCTGAATTAGGAGGTGGTGCGCAGGAAGAGGGCCCTTAACTGCGGGTTAGGGCATTCCCTTCGGCAGCTCTTAGCGTATAAGGCAATGCGTCACTTCGGCCGGGTCCGGGTGGCGTAATTAAAGAGAGCGCAGAACAGCATGACGCCTCCGGGTTTTCGGGGGTGTATAAGGCGCGGCCCTGCGAGCTAAGGGATGTGCCCCGCCAGGGGATACTGGGCGTCCCTAAGCGGCACATATTTTCATATAACAAAACCATCTGCGTGCCGCGCATAACAAATCTCGCCTGATTTATGGCGGCCCGAAAGCCGCGAACCTGGTCCAGCACCCGCTCTCTCTCAGCCTCCGGATCGTTACGGAAAAAAAAAAAAAAAGAAAATTCCTATAAGCCCTCCAAGGCGTAAAGGATACAAGGAAAACATTCCAGCACCCCCTGCAAGGCCTAAACAAGAGGAGAAACAATAAAAAAACAACGGGAGGAAAATTCGAGATAAACAAGATCAGCTGATTTAACCACGAGGAAAGGAGACGGGAGGTGGACGAGACGTCCCTTCGGGAGAGCTAATCTGTGACGTGATTAAAAAAGGGGGTGGTATAAGGGAGGGCAGAGGTTTCAGGAGCACGTTTGACGGACCCTGGGCCTCCCTTCGTGGGGGGTGGAAGGGCAGTCGAGGGTAAGAAGGGACCGACGAGGACCGAGTCGGATCAATAGCGTCACGGTGACAAGTAAGAGCACGCGTGCCCTGCGTTTGCTCGTAACGTGCCCCTCGTATGCTCTTATCGGGTCGTGAAAGACTTGGGCGTCGAAGTGTTCTCTTTTCTAAATGGCGAAGGAAGTCGACTCCTCGACTGCACTCGGTCATCGTTCACCCCGAAGGGGTGTCAAAAGACTTCGGGGGGAGTTTCGTCGATTCGTGGGGGGTCCTCGGAGGTGGCGGAAAGGTCTTTCCGCGCATCGAGTGAGAAGGGTCTGGCGGCAGTTTGTTACAGAAGCAGTTGTAACGGAAGGGCACGTACCGAGTAACGTGATTACAAATATATCATAACCTCCACCTCCGACGCCTTTCCTGGAGGACCTCTTCCAGCGTGGAGGCCCTGGCACGCGATACACGTGCGCGGCCTGTCGATGCGGCCTCGTCGCCGCAAATCACGGCGGGACCTCCGCGGCGGAAGGCCCGCAGGTCTTGGGTCCCCATGGGACTTCGGATTTCCGAAAAGGGATGGCTTCTTGGGAAGGTTCACATGTGAAGCAGATGAAAATATGGAGATTAGGTGGATCCTGGACCTGGGGCATCCCTCCACCCTCCACCCGTTCCACTGTCGAGTGATCCTGGAATTTTCTGCGGATGTACCCGGGCAGAATCCATTGCACCAGGCACCTCTCCCCGGAGATATTCCGGAATCCGTGGAAACTCCATATACCGACAAGACGGAACGGGGAGTTCCCCGAGATACCTCGGAATGTTTTACAGCTCATTAGGCAACAAGGTGTTGTTGCAGAGTGAATTATATCGAGATACCGTGAAGACAAATGGCCAAGTCGCGGGGTAATCCCGGGCTTTTATTGGCGAGCTCGCAATCGCGGCGCCTCCGCGCGGGTTCGACGCGCCGCAATTATTCCGGAGGTACGGGAACGCGGGAATGCGAGAGCTCTCCAGGACCCGTGGAGGTGTCCTGCGGAGGTCCTCGGGAGAGACCGCCGAATTAAAACGAGAAAATCCCTCGGCCGATAGTTACGCGGAATCCTGGCGGAAAAGTTCCGCGACGCCCTCCCTTCCGGCCCTGCATAACCGCACCTTTCGGTCCTGCATTCCCTCTTATGGTGCCCCTGGCCTGGAAAAGGAAGGGGTGGACATTTTCCACGGTTGATACGTTTTTTCGAATTTAGTTCCTGCAAAGAATCCTTCCGTTTTTGGGTTTCATTGTTCTTCCTACGGCGATGGGGATTCTCTCGCGGGGGTACCGGAAGTACCTCGGGGGCGGGAAAGTATCCCAGGGGAGAAGGCCCTGGCGTAGACGTCGAAGGGTGGCCAGGGAGTGGTGCACATACTTAGGAAACCGCACATCCGGTGGCCACCCTGCTGCAGGCCCTGGTATGCCTGTCCCGTCCAGCAAGATTAATACGGTCAGCGTGTTTCTTGGCATATTTCGGATACTTGCGAGGTTAATTACTTTCCGGCACATTGTTGGTGTTCCGGGGCAGGCATCCGGTCCGACAGCGTTTAAAATACCTGGCCAGGTGGGCGGGGGCGCCTTTGGGGAGAACGGAGTCCTTGATAAGGACCCTTGATAAGAGGAGCTAGGAAAAGAGGGCTAGTTCGAACGTACCCCCAAATTCACCTGATATTGAGGTAGGTCGGAAATTTCGTCTTAAAAAAGGGGTGTCAAAAGACGTACCCCCAAATTCACCCGGTATTGAGGTAGGTCAGAAATTTCGTCCTGAAAAAGGACGTTCGTCGCCGAATAACCAGGAGCTCCTCAGGGTGTTTCCGATCGGGAAACCTTGAAAAGTCCTCGGGAGGTCCAAAAGCGCAATTCCCTACGGGTATTTCGGAGGTTCCAACCCCCGGAAGGGCGTCCGGGGCGGGTCGTCCGATCTAGCCCTTTCTTGTCGGCGCCACGCGTCGCCATTGAAAACCCTCCACCCTCGCAGTGCTTTTTAGGGAGTACCGACCTAATGCATCGAAAGCCCGTATCTTCGCTTCGGGGGTGGCGTCCTCTCGCGTTATTGCGCCTCCGGGTGGTGCGCCCCGGCATATGGGAGGCAAGCTTGTCCCGATCCCTCTTGCACTCATGTATTTATGCATTCGAGCCCCCCTGGCCCGGGTGTGCGCGTCCACCCCCGCGAGAGCGCGAATAGGCGTCGAGCCAAAATCCAGAGGCCACTTACAGAGGGATGCAAAAATCAGGGGGAATAATTAGAAGAAGTTACAGACATCGACCCCGAAGATCGCCATTAGTCACCCTCGCCTGAGAAAATTCAGGCGCCGGATCTTAAGTTTCTCTTAGCCCCATGGATGCACCTTGCAATTCACCCCTGGAGAAGAGAGTCCTGCAGGAGGCTCTTCCGAAGGGGTTCGCGGGCCGGACGTCCAAGGGGACGTCCAGGGTCGACCGGGCCGGCGTCCGGACGCAATCGGCGGGTTGATTTAGAGCCCGACATGCATTTTAAAGCCCGGCTCAATGGCCCTATTTGCACAGGGGAGAGATAAAAATTCAGTATATCGGCCAATAAACTAGCCGGGCGCATCCTGGGGCGCGCTCGTTCGGATGCGATCGCCTATTTCCTTACGGCGACCGTGGCGACCGGGTCCAGTCCTGGTTCCCTCAAACGGGTATTTATTACCCCTCCATATTTATTGCCCAGCCTCCAAGGCGGTGGCCAGAAATCCGTCGCGTCGGCCCCGTCTGGTGCGTTGACGAAAATCCGCCCACCTCGCTTCCGGGTGGAGACGCGTCCTCCTCTGGACCCGCTTGTCCCGGGTGAATCCTTGCAGGACTCGAGAGAACGCGCCTTTCAACCCCCCCGGCTTTTAGGACTCTCCCTCCGCCCACCAATAAATCCCTATCACCATCGACCAGGTACCGCCCCGCTCCGGTAAATCATAAAGTAAGTGAAACCGAATTGAATCCAACGAGTAAATATGGCCTCGGAGAATAAATAAGAGGAGGTCCTGGACGAAGGATGTACCCTATGGCGTATTCGAACGTCTCCTCCTTTCCCCTATTTCCCACCCTATAAGTCCACCCGACTCTACCTCCAATTACCCCCGAAAAAAAATTCCATCGAACCAGGGAATTATTTTGATAATACAAAAAACGTTCATTCCACTCAAATGGTCTTTAATAATTACCCCGAAACGTTTCTTCGGAATATTTTTTTTTCAAAGAAGTAGACCCTTGATTATGCGAATTTTTTGCCTTTTCGTCACGTGGACGGTGACGTTAATTAATTGAAAGGTGGAATATGAATATACATGTGTGAATTTATTAATCAGGACTTCGCGTAGGGACACCTCCACCGAAATGGACATATCTCGAGCCGAGCCCGATATCCTGGGGACTTCTTCCAGCGTTAATCGTCGGCAAGGACTCGGCGATAGATCATGGCAGGGTAGTCCCGGTCCTGGGGCGCCTCCCCGCGATGCTTTATTAGTGCTCCCAGGCAAGTGGGTGGTTCGGGGGGTGGAAACCAGGGGACCCGCGTCAATGGGAACTCGCCTATTTACTCGACGTAGGATGGCGGCGAGGGCGAGGACGGTAGAGGGTGGCCGGTGGGTGGGAGAGGACGAGGGCGCCCCTCTGCGAGGCCGAACATGAATTAAAGTTTTAATTTCTCTAAATCACTGCTCGCCCCCGGGCGCTTTCCACCAGACGGTCCGTTACTTATGGCTCTTGCTCCTTTGGACGGCTCTCTCTTACGGGCCTGCGATCTCACGATTTTACGACCCCACGACCCCGCGACCCCGCGATCGCTCACGAAACTTCTAACCTAACTCCTTCCAAGGTCCTCCCGCACCTCGACATTCGGGTACGACAAGGTCTCTCGTCGGATTTTGGAAAAAAAGAGCCAGAATTTGGAAAAATTACCTTCTCATCATGATCCCCCACCTGGGCTGTACTTACCTTATCTCGCGTTTTTCTACATTTAAGACGCGTATCGGCCAGAATAAAGTCTCAAGAGGATGTGAAGGCCTCACATAAAATTTCACTGTTTAATACAAAATTAAAAAAATACCCATAAAAAAATTTTTAAACAATTGAAATTTCGACATACTCAGTTCAGAGGAAAGTTTCATAAACGAGTGCCCTGCGTGGCCACTTTGACATCACCTTAAGTCAGGTTCCCCCGGTCGTGGGATTTGGATAAAATAAGTGAAAGAGAGCTCGTAAGGAATAGAAGGGATGGAAAAGTAGGTGGAGAGAGTGGCGGCGAGAGGGTTGTTCATTTAAAATCATGATTCCCGCCCGGGCGGTATTAACGTTAGGTGCCAGCCGGGTCGGGCCAGGCGGCACACAAGAACTCCCCTCCTCGCGCCGGTGACATATTGTTCCCATTCCGGTGGCGGGTAAAGCAGGACGGGGTAAAAAAAAAAAGCGCGCATAAATATCGCCGCACCTCGAGCCCTAGCGGTCGGCGTCGTAAGAACGCGGAGGGCTGTTGTGACTAATTTGTCTGAGTGGCTTTTTGGTGCCGTTCTCGGGATACGCTGGGATAAGAGGGGAACCAGGTTCCCTTCCGCAGGGTATCCCGGAATATCCGGCGCCTAGACGGTCAGGTTAAATCGTACTTACAGGGTGACGGGTTCTTCGGGGCTGGACGGCGACGTCAAGAGCTGTCCCGAGGGTGGGCGTCGCGAGGTTCCCGGAGATCTGCCCCGGTCGTCCTGCTGAAACAAACGCCATCCTGTAGGGACCTTTTCCAGGACCTCGGGGGGAGAGGCCTCGCCTCTCCTTTTTACACCGTCGATTTAACGCGACGTTTGCGTTCTCTCGATGCAACAGGTAGGAGCCTACCTGCGTTCCGCGAGCGGTGAGTTCACGCCGCTCGGCGGGATGCCAGTCGTTCGTCGGATTTGCCGGCATCCCGTTTTCAAAGGGGGGAAACGGGGAGCCGATATCGGGATTAACGCATCGCTACGTCGATATCCGTCCCGAGCTGGCACTCCGGAGTCACCCTGGCGGAAAAAACGCCCCGGTTTTCCCGCCTCTCCCCCTTATACGGGAACCCGTAAAATCTAGCCGCATGCACGGCCGCCTTTTAATCGCCGCTCCTTGCTAGTTTGCTTTTACGCTCCCCTGGAATTCCCAGAGCCAGGGGTAGCCGAAAGGATTAAGTACTTATATTGGAAATGATTTATCGCGATCGCGGGGAGAATCGTTGCGGCAAGTTTTAACGGCCAGAATGCAAAGCGGAGAAGCCACGGTTTATGGCCCCGTGGCGGGCCTATAATGGCACCGGCGAGCAAAATTATGGAAATCGAGACCACCGGAGAAGCAGGGAGGCTATTACTGCAAGGGTCTTCGCGAAAACTGGGATTTCAATTTTTTCTTTTTTCTTTTTTTTCCTAGCCATTCTATGTACTTCTACCGGCGAAACTTGTCATTTTTTCATTATCGAGACGCGATTCCGTCTACGTCAAGTCCGCCTCGAAATGGCAATTTCTCCTACACGTCAAGAACAGCCGCAGTATAATCCGGCGCCGCACTTGCGGTGCTCAGACAGTGGTAATAGGCAGTAACTGGGCAGACGTCCTAAATCTGACGTCGATCGAATTTTCCTCGGCAGGGTGGTAATCCCGTAGGAGCGATTAAGACCCACTAAGCGATGAAAATGACCCTAGAGATTCAGGGGAATTTCTAAAAATCGGGAATTATCTCGTCCGTCCCCGAAGTCGATTTTCACTTCTTCCCTCCAGGAGGCGGAGGGGCGAAGATAGAAGCTCGCTTCCCTCTCCAGAGGCAAAGTCGACGACTGGTTGGGCGCCAATCGATCCCCACTTCCACAGCGATAAGAGTCGGCCAGGGATGAGAGTTATAACTGAATTATTCAGCGCGGAGAAAAATGGCCCGGACATATTGGGAAGAAAAACACGAGCATGGGCCGCGATAAGGAAAACAAGGGTTAACGAGGGACAACATTCGCCCCCCTGATAATTTCCACTTCCCCGAGGTCCGCGGGTAAACTTTCGGCGGACCTCGAGATGGAAGTCGGTCCAGGAAAGAGGACTCCAGACTCCGCGATATGGGAGGGGGAGGCGTGCAAGTAGCAGCGATTTAATCGCACTCGGATCGCCGTCCCGTCGACGAATTCCCCAGGGTTCGGTTCCTCTCCTCTGGGAGCGCCCTCGCGCAAACCAATCCGCCCTCCCCTGGATGGTCCTCCTTTTTTCCCTCTTCTCCCTCAAACGGCCCCTTTCCGGGTGCACGGCTGATTAAACGCGCAACTACGTAACGCAACGCAAATACACCCGGAGGGCGCCTCTCGATTCCACCTTTCGCGGCCCTCTTTGAATCCGGTCACTCGAGGGGGATGTTTATCGAAGCCTCGTCGCCGTCTCGTCGCGATGGACGTCCCTCCGATTTTATCGGAATTATTTACCTCGGCCCGGGTATCAGGAATCCGAGGAAGGACGCGGACGGAACCCGGGGGCGCGAGTAATGGACCGACCCGCGTGGAGATGCGTGGAGGTGCATCGAGACAAGGGAGGAAACGAGCACTTGTCAATTGAGCGCGTCCCGGAGGGAGCAGGCGGGGGTGGTCTACCTTTAATCAAGGAAAAATGTAATATAAGCCGAAAACTAGTCAAGCCTCGCCATGGGGTTCCCGCGGGCCTCGGCTGCGAGGGTGACTCCTCCCCAACCCCTGGTAACCTCGCCGACCGCGGGGGAGAAACAAAGGAAGTTATCGCGCCGGAATTTTTTCCGACCGCCGAGACGACGGAATGCAAATCACGCCCTTGCCGAGGGATTTGTTAAGATCGCAGGATCCAGGGAAAGGAAATCTGGATCTGGAGATTCTGGGGGGTGCCACGGAAGGAGCGATCCTCCCGTCGACGCACGTCGTATTCGATATAGAAATTTCGCCATAAGTGAATTTTAAAAAGTTCCTCGTATATGTATAAATATTTTCCCTCCCGTGGGAGGACGCGCGAAGTCTTATTTAAATTACGGTAATTGTTAGTGAATTTTACAGGCGTTGAGATTGAAATTAATATTGGTCGGGATTTCATGGGGGATGAAGCTATGCGACGTAGGATCGACGTTAGATCGACGTTGGATCGACGGATTTGACTTCTCCCTCGTTCCAGGACCCTCTTTCCGGAACCGGGACGGCAGCGATCGCCATTGTCGAATTAATACGGAATTTAGTATTGTCCGTCTTGCGGTTAACGTCCTGTCCGGCCGCACAGTAAGCGACCATTACTCCTGTCTGAGCACCGACGCCGGCAGACCGTTCGCTGGCCGAACTACTGCTTGCGCTTAGGATGCCACTCGCACCTGCCCCCCGACGAGAGAAGGCACCAGGACCTCCAGGACGACCGTCGATGCACCTTGGAAGTCCCTCTTTACCCTCTCCAAGGTCCTTCCGGCTCCGGGGCACCATATGGTAAAATCGAGGGGTTTCGGAAGGGAGGAAAAGGTGACGGAGGTCGAGGGAGGAGGCGCCTCGGAGGCGTCGATGGCGTGACAGATTGCTCGCAGTATTTTCCACCACATACATCATCGGCGCCGCCAACCCTTGGTTCCACCTCGGCGCCCCCCGGCGTCGTCTCTCTTAATTGGCATCGGTACCCAACGGCCTGCGGAAAATTTCCTCGGAACGGGACCCGCCACGAGGGGTGGGGCGATCACCCCACGCCTGCCAGGATTTCATCTTCCCTGACGGTGGTCCAGTCCCGAGGCTCCTCAAAATCCAAAATGAACCGCAAGATGAAATTATATTTTTTTCCCCCTCGAAAAAAAATGTTTAATAATTTAATCGAACCCTTTTGGAGCAGATGGAGATTCTTAATCCACCCCTAAATTTATGGGGGATCATTTTTTTACCGACTCGAGGAGTATTTTTATTATTATCTCCTAGGTTTAAATTCCAGGGTCGCGATAGGGCCTCGGTTTATCGCGGAGGTGACTATCCGCAGACGCCGATCACCTGCGGTGGATCTCGAGGACAAAGAGAGGCGCAGGGCGTAGGTGGTCGTAAAGGGAGGATTTTCGCTGACGGTAAGGTGTACCTCCTGGCGCAAGGAGGCGAAGAGGCCGGCGGGTATGTGCCAACCTCCTCATCCAGGGAGCCAGGATTAAGGCGATAGTGGGTGCAACGGGCTTGATAGTGGGGCCGCGGCAAGTACCTCGCTACCCTGGCGCCCCATTATCTTAACAAATCTAATCTCGCGGTGGGTGTTTATAAATGTCTTGTTTTCCAGGCAAATGGCGCGAGAGAGAAGGGGTGCACGAGCAGGGCGAGGAAGGGAGACCGACCTCTTTCCAGGGCCCTCTCTTCGCCTCGTTGCGAGGCGTCTCTCGGAAGGAGCCGGAGGAGAAACCTCGGCGGCATTCCCAAATCCTGCAGGACCTTTCGAGGACGCCTTCCGAAGAATTCCCCGGTGAGAAACTGAAGATTTCGCGGTCAGACTGAATTTTCGCGTCGATATGGTGGATGCGTGGAGTCCTGGAGAGGGGCGCAGGATCCAGGATTCTCAGGGTGGACGCGCCCAAGAACATCCCTGGCAAGACTCGTTCGGCGAGGCGGCGTTATTACGGTCGGGGGCGAGAACCCCACCGCAGAACTAGAGGGCGTAATCCCTTAAGAGCAATAATAAGAATCCTTGCCCCGTTGGTGCCGGATTCCGCGGGAATAAGAGGCGACGAAGAAGCGGCGCGGTAACTTAATTCGCCCCCTCCCCGGGGAGGGTGCACGTATCCCGGGCTATTGCGTCCATTCCCTGCAAGTGCCGTCATTTTTCCAGGAGGCCCCTCCACCAATTTGATAACATTAACGGAGAACGAGGGCACTCGGAACGAATTGGGAGGCCGTCTACGGGGTCGGCGGCGGAGGCAGCCGCGCAGGGAAAGGGGTGGCGCGATAACGAAGCCGATTCGGAATTTGAATGGGGATTAATAATTCAGGGAAGTTGCATACATGCATGGCTAATGGCCCGGCGGTGCCGGCGGGGAATAAGAAGCGCCTGGGCAGGTAATAAAAAAACTGTCACGTAGGAGCGTCGCCGACGAGGAGCGAGACGCCGCCGGGAGGGGCGAAGAAGGGAAAGAATACTGATTCATTATTCAATCTGGGTCGAGTGATTAGCATGCGCCGGTGGCGGCGCTGCCGGCGTCGTTGGATCCTTCTAAATAATGTAACGCGCGGCGCCGCGACGCTCCTCTCCTGGGCGAAATTTCAAGAGGTGCGGGAGGTCGGACCCACGTCTATTCCTGCGGATTCCCGAATTTTTGCGCTTCCTGGAGCCGCGGAAAATCCGGAATCCGAGGGACTTTAATCTCTGGGAGTTTTCCCTCGACCGGGGGACCCGAGGGGGTCTTCAGGGGCGTCTTGGGGGGCGTCTTCGAGATCGTTAAGCTCCACGGTCACGCGTTCCGGACCCTGCTGCGGATCCCCGGTGGCAGGTCTCCCCTCCGGCTCGGCGGCCGGTCGAAGAATAAAACATTTTTAATATAATTAAGTGGAAATCTCGGGGTTTCTCGTCCCCAGCCTCGTCGCCGGCGGTCTCGGGGCTGGATGTAAGAAGGGTTGTATTCAGACTGCCTCGGGGGCATGTTAATGCACTCCGAGATCTTAGCACTTACACTCCAACACGCCCAGCCCGGGACGTCCTTTCCACCCCGACCATTTTCTCTTTCTCTTAAACTACCCCAACCGTGCTCGAGCGCCTCCAGAGGGCTTTCACGGACGACGCCTTAAATCCGGATCTCCTCGTCCCGCCCCCTCCGCCCCGACCTCGTTCCCGCAGAAAGGCTGAGCGAGAATCGCGAGGAATGCAGAGAGACCCGCCCCCGAGGAGAGACTCCTTCGGGAGAGAGTCGCCCCCGCCCCCGAATCGAGCTCTCGGTCTGGACCGATTGAA